TCCGCCAAGCTTCGTGTCCTCCCTTATCAAGAGAAATTTCTAGGTCGAGTCAGCACGCTAACTTAGAATGGGTCTATGTCTGTGACTATTGGGCCATTTCTAGATAATTTGAACGATAGATCGTAAAATCATCCTGTGTTTGTCATATGGAGCTACAATCTCATCTGACTTGTAGTCGTTATATTAGACTCGACTGCTATCAGTTGCACATTATCATCAACGGTAAGCGAGTATGGGGCTCGTACCCTTGCGCCGGTACTCCGATGTCATTTGGCTGCGTTGTTCTCTCAACGATTGCAAGTCACAATCTCTGACCAATCCTATACTTTTTGCGAAACGTCTCAGCTATCGCCCTTGCGAATAACCGAATTTCACGCCGACCACACATTGAATCGATCACATTTATCAGTGATCATCATGGTAGCTCTCGCTCTGCGACCAACCGGCGGATTCTTTCTAACGGTAACTTGCGCGCGTCCCTTGAGTAGTACTCTTGTGTTCGTCAGACATAAAGGGAACGAAGGGGGAGGGTGACCATCTAGAAGATGGAGGGTCCATTTTACTACTTATTTTGACGGGGTAGCTGATCTAGTGTGTAAAATTTATTTTCTTAAGTCTCATTAATACTTTATTCTCACTGACATGCTTAATCTTACCGGTCACCGTGCATTTTTTGAAATAAAATTAAGCATGTATAGAATCTCGTATGACTCTTATATATTAAAATTAGATTTTTTTTTATGTGTAGATTAGATTTCATGCCTCATATTTTATCTCAATCTAATAATTTATATATATTATTTAATAAGTAAGATGTATTTATCTAATTGTTTAATTATATTATCTAATAATTACTTTTCTTAAAAATTAATAAGTAATATGTAAAATTAAAAAATGAAAAAAATAAAAAAGCACAATTTTGATATAAATAAATTAAGAAATGTTGATATATATGCATATTTAAAAATGTCGCGACCAAAGTCTCTTAAGTTTGTTTGCCGTAAACCGGCAATGAATGCACGAAAACCTTTTTTTTTTTGGGACATTTAGGCCATTTAAGACAAATTCACACACACAACGCATACACATAGACTCGAACTCTGAACCTCTTAGTTGGAAGCCTAAGCTCTCAACCAATAGGCCAAGGATAGTTGTGTATGCACGAAAATCTAATTCAAAGAGTTTCTCGACCGTTGGATTTACAAAACAGTTGTGCAAATTATTTCAAACTATCAATAATCTCAAGAATATTTTTCAAGATCCAACGGTACCATAAAAGAGAAATCCTTTCTGTTTTAACATCACTTGTGCATTGGATTTTCCTCCGCAATGGCGATTTAACTCATTCGAATTGCGAGGATCACGAGGTCCAAACTTCTCCGTCTCCAACTTAGTAGGATAATACCTAGCCGACAAACAGAAGAGGAAGCAGGAGGAGAGAGAGAGAGAGAGAGAGAGAGAGAGAGAGAGGCGAAAAATATTCCCAGGCAGGTTTCAATCGATTCTTTTTCCGTTTTCTTTCCCCCACCCCTTTGTTTTTTTCAAATCACGAATGTTTTTGTTGCTGAATTTTTTTGTAGCAATTCTCTCTTTGAGACTGATAGAATGATGGAAGGATTCTCCCCGATTTCGCCACCGCGAATTTTCTGGAATTCGCGCAAGAGATCAGGTATTGTTTACTGATTTACCTTTATTTAACTTTTTACCTGGATAAATTCACCAAGGAATCTCATTTCTTCGTTTTTGATATTATGAATCGAGAGATTGTTCTGTTTTCTACTCCAAAATCACATTTTTAGGTTACCTAATCGATGAAAATTAGAGAAGAGAGGGGAGATGTTTGAGATTTCTTAGCTTGAACGGCACGACCCCGTCTTACTCTTTGCTTTTTCTTGTGTCTTTGGTTTCTTAGAAGCCTATGCTTTGAAAATCTTGTCTTTACTGCTAGTCATTATTTAACTAGGCTGACTGATAGTTTACTTGGTTATTTGGTTTTTTAGCTTATCCTATGTTGTTTTACAGTATTCAAACAAAAAAAATTAAAAAATATATATGATAAACTGGCTGTCAGCCAGCAAGCTTGGTTATTTGTTTTTTAGTTTATGTTTTCTGTTGTTTTACAATACTACAACAACAACATCAAGCCTTCGTCCCACTACGTGGAGTCGGCTACATGAATCCTTTTTCTCCATTGTGTTTTGTTAAAAGTCAAATTCTCGTTTAAATGTAATAAAGAAATATCATTTCTAATATTTTCTAACCAAGTCTTTTTAGGTCTACCTTTCTTAACATAACGCAAATCTAATGCGTCTATTTTCCTGGCTGAGTCATCGGAAGGCCGCCGTTTTATGTGACCAAACCATCTAAGACGGCTCTCTCTAATTTTCTCTTCCACTCGAGTTACTCCAACCTTTTCATGTATATGCTCATTTCATATATCTGTTGTTTTACAATGTTCAAACTAAAAAATAAATAAAATAAGAACTGTTTTGAAGGTTTATAACTTCGGATCCTTGCACCTTGAATATTTGTCGAATTTGATTTTATTAGATTTTCTTAATGTTTTCTCTTTCGTTGGACTGGAATAGAATGTGTATTAATTGTGGTGAACAGATGAAGCTTTGCATTTATAAGCAATTTCAGATATGAAGCATTGCATTTCTTTCGTTGGAATGGAAGAAATTATTATGTGTGGTCACCGGATGGTTCGGAGGTGAATCAAAATGTGCCATGTCACCCGGCATATAGCGTTACACTATAAAAAAGTGATATGGCGGGTTCTGATTAGCCTCCGAACAATGTTTGGTGACCTCACAGAATAATTTCAGGGGGAAGGGGGGAATTATTCTGTGCGGTCACTAGACGGTCCAGAGGCTAATTAAAATGCATCATGTCACCCGGCACATAACGGTACACAGTAAAAAAGTGATGTGGCAGAACCTGATTCACCATCGGACAGCATTTGGTGACCGCACTGAATAATTTCAGAATTTTCTTATTCCTCAGTTAACCTTGGTGTCTAGAAGCTGCTTCTAAACTTCAGGTTACCTCGAAATGAATTGTATGTTAAAACACATCATTTACTGGTTACTTGATGCAATCTTACTCAGATAATTGGCTAAACTTTGTTTTGTAATGCGATTGATTTTATGTACTGTAGCCAAACATGTAACTTCCATGCAACTTGAACCTTTTTCTTATGGAAAAAAGGAATATTCAAATCAATTATATGCTTACTTCTATGAATTACAATTGTGACAAGAAGCCATATAAATTAAGAGAATATTTATCTCATTTTGTTCAGCTAGTTCCCGAAGCTTAGAGAGTTCATTGAAGGAAGAGGGGGACAGCAGAGTTCTCAATGACATTACAAAGGAAAACCAAGCCCCTTCAAGCCCATTAAATGACAATGAGAAACAAGATGATCCTAAAGCTAATCTCTCTGAGAGACGCCGAGCTCTATTCGAACCATTGCAGCCAATCACGTACCGTGGAGATGGCAAGACTCGAACTCCTGCTGAAGAGCTCCTCCCACCGCCAGACTTTGACTCAACCTCATACCCAAAAGGATGGTTAGTAGGAAAGAAGCGGAAGCTCGTAAATGTGGATGTGGTTGAAAGCATGAGGAGGATTGCAGTCCAGGAGATGAACAGAAAGGTCTTTCCTGACTTCTTTTGCTTCTTTGCATCATTAAGCTAACATTTTACCCTAGGAGACCCAGATGTTCTTAATAGCTATGCTGTTTTAATTTTAAACATTAGCTCCATATTGATATATGTGTACATATAGGTATAGATAGATCTAAGATGAGAACAACATAAAAATAGCTTGTTAGACCATCTTAAAATGTGATTGAAATCATGAAAATCTCCAGTACAAGGGTTCGTTTGGGACAATTTTCTTACTATTTTCTAATACAGTTTTAGTATAAAAATTTCTTAAAAACAACGAAAAAACAATGGTCAAAAGCCATCTCAAACAAAACCTTAGTGACAATTTACCAACTATATACATTCATTCTAAATGAAGGATTGCCTGTTAAATTACCTATGTTTCAGAATATTGTCAAATGTTAGGTGACTAGCCTAGGTTTAATTTCTACAAATTAAATATTATTTGAAAATAGAAGACAAGAAACAACTAAACGTAATCAATCTCTTAAAAGAAGTATATGTTATTACAAATAGATATTAATCATTGTAAACCGAAAGAATTAAGTTTTGCGTGTGATTTTAAATATGAAATTGCTTCTGCAGAGATGTCTTCTCTATCAGCTGAAAATGAGTAAACAACGCTCCTCCTTCATCATAGCGATAGAAATGAAGGCCACCTAAATGTTGTATTAAGTGTAGAAATGCATTATACATTTAACTAAGATAGTATTGCTTGAAACAGAGATATAATGGATGATAGAATATTTTAAAGCTTTTTATTATTTTACTGTATATTACTAAAAACAAGCAAACTTCTGGATTTATAAATAGGAGGTTAGAAATGAATATTCAGTCTTTGATTGTTTATTCCATATAACAGAACCAAAAGATGTTTTTCAAGGAAAAAACAATAAAATTTTCATTTCTAGGATCTTTATACTTAACATAGATAACATAATTACGAGCTGACATTTGTGAAATGTGAACTTTAAAATATATATAATTCACTCTTAAGACTGATAGAGAGAGAAATGGTTTTCCTTTGAACTTGCTTTGAATATCATTACACTAACATAGATAACATAATTTTCATTTCAGAGAGAGAGAGAGAGAGAGAGAGAGAGAGAGAGAGAGGAGGATTATAGTGGGGACAATAAAAAAGAGGAAATATATAGTGAGAAAAATTCAAGAACAAGAAAAATATTTGAGCGAAAATACTTTGCATACTTAAAATTAGTAGAATATTGTCTTTCTGTGCAAGCCTTGGAGGTAGGCGAATTTTGTTGAATCACATAAATCTCATATCTTCTGTTCAGGTATTTTTCTTATTCATTTTTTCTTGTTCTCATGTTCTTTATTGCTGTCATATGCTCTTTTGGCCAAAAGTTGCCCGCCCAATATGGTTGTGGGAAGAAACTTTTTGCCTGTTGCCTGAAAGTATTTATTGAAAGCAGCTTTGTATAAGGCTTCGTTTGGGACGGCTTTCTTTCTGCTTCGGAAAGCGGCTTTTTAGTACAAAAGTTTCTAGTACAAAAATTAATTTTTGTGTTAGAAAGCCGCTTCACGAAGCAGAAAGAAAGCCGTCCCAAACGAAGCCTAAGTCTAAAATATCTTCAAATCCATCCCCCACCCATTTTAATGAGGATATTGTAACGATCAAACAACTTCACATAAATTTTTACCAAACAGAGAAATATCATTTATTTTTCATATGTACAACACAAGTGCTGCAATCAAACAGCTCAATTGTTAACACATTTAAAGGAATATAGTTCAGCAATCTGTTAGATCTTCATTGTAAGATTTCAAAATTAAATGAAGGTGTCATAATTCTTAGGTTGTTTATTACCCAATAATGAGGATGTAGAAGGGAAAGGTTGGCCAATAAATATAGAAGACTAACTTTTGATTCTAAGTAAAAATGAATAGGATAGAGAGATTGATGGCCTCAATGAGCAGCTGGAGGAAGATGCTAAATGCCTCGAACGTCTCCAGCTACAGTTGCTTGATGAGCGAAGCAAGAGAGCTGATGTTGAGAGGGAGAATAGTATGTTGCAGAATCAGATTACCATGCTCATGACCTTGCTTGAAGAAAACCAAGCAATGGAAGATGAAGCAGCAGAAGGGGATGAAGCTTCCCTTCCCTGAAATTCATGGATGTTCTTTAATTTTATATAAGGCAGCAGCTCCAGAGACTCATTTGTGACCTGTTTAATAGATTTACAGCAAAGTGATATTTGTTAATGCAATCTAGAAGAATAAGAGATGGGTATCAATATACTTATTTTGTTCTTTTTATTATTTAAAATGTGCAGTGTTACAGTTACCTGGCATATGTATTTATTGTAAGCAGTTCAGAATATTTTATAATATTCATTTGATGTATGAAAGTGATGGAAACATATATTTTTCATATTTCTTTTGATGTGGATTGACCATTGTGCATATTTTATAAGCTGCACTTAAGCACGGATAACTTAGATCATCTTCAACCGAACTGCATGTTATTGTATACCATTTGTAAATCGGTGCATTCAAACTTCAAATCTTATGCGAAAAAACAGTAGGTGAACAGTGCAACGCAATATTGACGTCAGACTGTTCACTTACGCAAAAAAAAAAAAGATACCTTTGCACTTTGCTTTGCTTCGCAAGAAGAGCGCGAAATAGGAGAGAGATGGCTATCTTTGCAAGGAAGCGTGCGAAAAAAAAAATAGAGTTTTATTGGAGAGAACTACTGCATTTTGAAATATTGTGACATTTTAGAGTGAAAAATAGGGTTTTCAGTTGGAGATGCCTTAAGGCCTCTGCTAAAAAGAAATCAAAGGAAAAATAAAAAGAAGTTGCACCAACTTAACAACAATCCAATAAAAGCTTGATGGAATTTAGTTTAATGGTGCAAGTCCAAATATCCCAAAATATTGACATTATAGACCCAACAACATCTCATCAACACTCAGCAGGCTTTACAAAGATTGAGATGCCATTGTTGGTATTTAAAAGATGGCTTGGTTATCATTGTCTTCTTCTATACTAAAAAGATGCAAATACTGTGGTATGGAACCAATTCGAGGAAAATTCATCAGAAAATCGCCTATGGAATCCTTTCTTGAAATACCACAAGGCTGTGGGTCATCAAAGACTTTTTTCCTCTGCAGTTGCTTTGAATCATCTTCAATGAAATCTTGGCGATCTTCCATGCCTGCAATGGAAGCTGACTGCAGGTTTTCATTCGAGGGATCCTTCTGAAGAAGACGGTTTAACGAGTTTACTTTTGATAAGAGAGAATTTTCATCAAAATCAAAACTTTGAGAATCTGTGAGAAAATAATCAGCCCATTCCTCTAATGTTTCTTTGTTTAGCAAGCAATCAGCTGAGAAAACTGGGTTGCCTGAAGCCATCTGTTCAGAAATGCAGTGTTCTAAATGGCTCACTAAATCATCTTTCGACATGGAAGCTTTAAGTTCTGGTACTTTAAGCTGTTCCAACTGCACAGGTTGATTGCTTAATGATGTGTTTTCTCTATAAATACCTGCAATTATAAGCCAAAATCAGAGAGCTAGACTTTTTAAAGAAACTGGTGATCCAAAGATGGAATTTGAACTGAGATTTTTGACCAAGTACTTGCTGAAGCTCAAATTTATCAATAAAATTTAATTTGCATGTAAACAGTTGATGGGAATTAATCTTCTGTGCTTTCCATCCTAAGTGACATCAACGGATTTACGCAAGGTGAAGAAATTACCTGAATCATGGAAAATCATTTGTCTGGCTGCAAGATCTAGACCTGCATCAATAGTATTCCTTGTTCCAGCCTTAGCACAGAGTGGTTTAGGATCATGAAATTCAGCAGAGGATTCATGATTCTCCTTCAGCTTATCAAATCCAAGGCATTTAGATTCATCTTTGTCCTCCAAGCACGAGGGGGGTTCAAAGCAGGAAGATTCCAAGATGATATCTGGTTGCAGACTTAGAGATTTTAACCGTGGATCACATTGGATAAGTTTCTCAAAATGCTTATTTAACAAGCCTTGTTGACACTGCAGAAAATGCCTCCTGCGCACACACATGATCTCTCAAAGAACTTAAAAAAGAGAATAAATCTAAAAGAAGAATAATTCTATTGGAAGTTATAAAAGAGCCACAAGCGTTCCATTTAAAGAGTATCATAGTCCTAAAAATCTCATGAGGTAACAAATGCTCACATCCATTGTTATTATACAACAAAGTTGCAATACTGACTAGAAAAAGAACATCATAGTCCTAAATATCTAAAACTGAGGCAACAGAGGCTACTACATAAACTACTCTCTTAAGCACATCCTAAGCTAGGGATAAAAAATGACAAACATCACGTTTGATCTAAAACACAGTTAGAATGGGAAGGAGTAGAAATCATTAATCCAATCAAAATCGAATCACTAAAAGCTAGATGCATGAATATGTATATCCTTGTTGTTACAAACATAAATATTTATTCAATGCAAGCACATATTAATGCTCCAAGTGTACAAATTTATGCATTTCCAGTTTACTTGTAAATATTATTAATCAATGCACGCAACCAAACACTTATCTGTACAGTTATCTAAGTACCCTATACTTCCAATAAAAACATGCTAAGCATGGTATAGCTCACTTGGTTGTTGGTTTAAAAAGGGATCTTTATCGAAGTGCATATTCCTACATTTACCTATAGACATACCTACCATATAGTCATATTGTAGGTATCCTCTACCTATCTACACCTTCACTTCATGCAACCCCAGCCATCTTTCAAATTTCTTTACATCTAACTCATCCTATCTCATATTGCACTTTTCAAACCTCACATACTCGTCCTATCCCTTTTCTATTAAAGCTAAATATTTCGAGCTAGGCAGTATCCAACAATAAGATTGATCCACAAATTAATTTTTAACTTGCAAATCATTTTGACTTCAGGCTTCCATGTTTACAAGGAAAATACACCTTTCAAAGAACCAAACCCTGGGCTACAGTCAATTTGCCCACAACCTGCAAGGTCTCACACATGTGTGAGACAATGTTGAAGAAGATAATGAAGCTTTTTTAACATTTGCTGATGATGATGATTCCCAAAAAGAGTAGATTAAATTCTTATTTGATCTTTTAAAAAAAGATTGTAATATTTAAATTATGAGATATTTGGATGTTACTTAGTCGAACTTATATATATTATGGTTGTCTTTTATTATTATGATAGCTTGTCTTTCATTTTTAATAATATTTTATATTCATGCTTATTATTTTATAATTTTTATATAACTTGCGCCATGTTTAAAATAGCGCGCGTCGCGCCGTGCGCTATGCGCCATGGCTCCAAAGGGACCTTTGCGCCATGGTGCGCCATTCGCCGTTAACAGGTATGATATTGCCATTGCTTGCCACCAACCCCCACTATAGCCTCCCCCGCCATCAACCTCCCACCGTCATTGTACACCCGCCAGCCGCCCCGCCCCCATCAGTCACCCCCACTACCCCAGTTGTCAGCCACCTGTTACTGCCAACCGCCAATCACTCGTTGCCTCGATCACCCACCTCAATTGACCTCCCACTATTGTCGATCACCCACTTCCACTGCAACTGATGGCCACCTCCCACCACCGCCTTGCTTGTTACCAGCTGCCACGGCCGCTAACCTCCTCCGACAGTTGGCTAGCCCACCACCAGCTATAACCGCCACTGTCAATCACCAACCACTATCCTCTTAATACGTAACAATGTATTCATTTTACTTCAAGCAAAAAAAAAAGGAATCTCATGCATTCCTTTACCCTCATCCAAACAAATATAAAGTATTTCTTGAATTTCTTTGCAATTACGGGTATGTTCATGGCAATAAAAATTTCTCCCAATATCAATACTGCGTTGAAAATTAGAATCACTAAGGACAAGAAAAAGAAGATATAACTAACCTATGAATGCTTGCTTGGCCTCCAGTAAAATCTGAAGTTGCCTGCCAAAGTGTGTGTTTTCTGGGTTGAGGATTGGTCTCTCTGAAGAAAAGTGGTCTCCTAGCAAGCTAAACAAAATCAAAAGATTTAATATAAACATATTACTTGAAGAAATTTAATATAGCGTATTTTATAACTCCTTACCATTACATCCAATATTTCAGATCCATTTTCTTGGTAAGTTGCTTTCAGTGCAGTTATATCTGACCATTGGATTTCAATCTTGTTCTTTAGACCGCCATCAAGGACCTCCCATACAAGCTTATGTTTCGCAAAGTAACACTTTGCAACTAAATCACCTTCATACCTCGAAACATACTGTTCAGTTAACGGTCTATTAGACATGTTGAAATCAGACCATACAGACAAAGGTTAGCATATGTTGAAATCAGACCAATACCGGCAATGGTAATAAAAATAATCAAGCAAAGTCCAGAGCATGATAATTGATGATGCCTCTTCCTCAACAAAATTCCAAAATCAAATGCAAATGCAGAATGTGTTACAATACACTAACTTGATACAAAAAAAAAAAATTCGCACATAAACAAAATTCAGGACTTACTATAAAAAACAAAAAATTGTCCCATCATATGTAGTATTTCTCAGTTCTCGCCATGTTTAAAATTGCGAATAAGAGACGCGCCTCAGCGCAATTTCACATGTTTCATACTCAAAGCTTAAGCCTTTCTCCTGGAATATGAGGCGTACGCCTCAATTTAACGGAAGTACGCCTTAAGCCATGACTCGCCTCATTTCTACGAGGCGGAACACCTCTTGAAATTTATAAAAAAAAAAAAAAAAACTAAACCTAATATTTAATGATATTTAATGTTTATACCAATGAACTCTTAGTACCAATGCTCGGTACCGCTCGGTACTGATCGGTACAGCTCAGTATAGAAACTCGGTACCATTCGATACTGAGTGGTACCGAATGGTGCCGAGCGGCACCGAGAAGCTATGGCATATAAACAAGCTGAGAAAGCTTTAAAATTACTCTTGCAATAAAAATTTGTTCTGGGGGCGCTGCCCCCTTGTACCCCCGGCATATCTGCGAAATCTCTACACTTTTACTTATAAGTGTAGAAGACTCCCTAAAGGATGACAATGATGATGACTTATGACTTGTAATGTCATTGCTATTTATTTTTTGAATTACATGTTAATGAAAAGGATATTGTGGTTTATTGAGTTGAACTATATTTTACGTTGTCTTATTATTGTGATGTTTGGATTTCACTTTTATTTCAAACAACTTATTATTTGACACTTCATATCTTATATTTTTTATGTTTTATATTATTAGATTACTCAGTATATAAAAAATTATCATTTTATCTTTACGTAATTTTTTTATTTTGAGGCTTACGCCTTAAAACGCCTTGAGGCTTACGCCTCGTCTCACAAAAGAAAAACGCCTCAATACCCGATTACGCAATTTTAAACCTTGGTTCTCACTATATAACATATGGAAAATATAGCCTTCCAATATGATTTCCTTGATGAGAAATGCAACATTAAAAAAAAAAACTAATTTGCGAAAAGATTAAAGTTGAAAGGGGTTCTTTGCTTTGTGGACTATAAGTTTGTATTTTTAGGCATGTCGTCATTTGATATGCAATTTCTTTCAATTTAGTTGGCAAGTAAAGCTTTTCCTTGATACTTCGCAAAAATTTACCACCTCATAACACGTGAAGGCGGGCGTTATCTTCAATTTGATAGGTTTTAATTAAGTAACAACAAGAATCTCATAGAATTTCAGATCATTTTTTTACTTTTATTAGACCTCTTTCTTTATTAAATTATATAATTGGATAGCAAAAAGAATCCTCCTCCTAAATGAAGGGATGAGCCTGTTAAAAACTAACCAATTGATAATCACATGGAAATAATTAAATCTGAAAAGGGCCACTTTGAAGCTTCTTATTCCTTCTACAAGAAAGAAAGGTATGCACCCTCCAAGACAAAAGCCTCTGATAAGGACATCCACCGGAGATTTCGACATACTTACCATCGGCGGAATTTTAGATCGACGGCTATGATTCATAGTTTCTTTATGATGTTTTAGTGCATTTCTTTTAATTATTTTTTTTAGTTTTCCACTTTACCCCTATGAGGGATTTGTGTCATGTTGTAGCCTAAGAGCATTTGTGTCTTTTACATTTTATGCTTTGGAGGCCTATATATGAAGGCCTAGTCATTGTATTTTTTTCTAATAATGAATTATGAAGAAAATCTCAGCTTTCTTTGTTCTCTTATTGAGTTCTTGAGAAGAAACCCTAGATGAGTAAAAGCAATACCTGTCAACATTTGGAGGATTCCAAGGTTCGCAGTTATACGATCTCTTTGTGAGTTCTTGGTTCTTTTATTTTAGTCTTCATCTTCCTCTTCCCTTTTCTCCTATACCGCCGGCAATCCCTTCCCTATCTCCCCAAACCGACGGCCTCAACCCCTCCCCTTGATCCCCCATTACCCGCCGCCCCTCCACCTAACAAGTCGCCGGCCACTTCATCAACCCGGGGGCCGGCCACTTCATCAACCCGGGGGCCGGCCCCACCCCACCACCCTTCTCCCACCCGAGCCTAACCCGCCGACCACCTTGTCCCAAAATTCTGAAATTCAAAATCCAATTGCCTACATTTACTTTCCTAAATTAGATCATAGTCAATTAGGAAAGTTTCCTATTGAGAATTCAATTAAATATTTGAATTCAAATACTTTCCTTTTGCTAGAAACTCATTTAGGAAACCTCCTCATTGAATCAAATCTGAAATTAAACTCAGATTTGATTTTATTCATTGTTTATTCCTTGGGGGGGCCCACACACTTAAAATGAAACCCCCATATCATCCCTATATGGCCAACCCCTTACTGAGCATTTATTCTCTCCAATTTAAATTCCAATCACCATTAAATCCCCACTAATACCCCATTAAACCGCCGGCCACCTTATTGCTCCTTTTGGATAATTTTGAAATTCAAATTTAACCCCTCTCCCTCCCTTAGTGAAATCTGAATTTAATTTCAGATTTACTAAATCCCTCTCTCCACCTTACTAACCCAACCATAACCGCCCCTCTCCTTGCCTGCCAACTCCCCTCTCTCCGCCGCCCTCTCCACCTTTCCCAACCGGCGGCTCCACCATAGAACACCACTCGCCTACCCTCAAGCTCATGGATGGCGGATCCGGATGTTGATCACGGATTCGCTTACAATTCTCAAGCGGAAGTCAACATCATTCAATCACCTTTCTTCGATCCTGGATATGGGTTCGAAGGCACCGTCGAAGAATACGTGGAGCGTATTCTCTTTACTTTGGCGGACGTCATCGAAGAGCAACAACCTACAGGATCGTGAAAGATCGCAGGACGACCACCCGTCTCTCCAACTCCGGTCAACTCTCCGTTGATCAAAACCACCGCCATCCTCTGTCTTGTAGTGGCATCATTGGGCTTGCTAACCTTTGTCCTCCGCTAACCCTACTTCCAAAGAGCGATCCAGAAGGAAACTCTAAGGTGAAAGTTCTAATTGTTAAGTGGTGGATTATCTTTAATCGCATATTTGTTTTACTATTTTCTTGTCATTATTTCGGATCGCTCTGTTAATCTAACGTGTAACTGCATGTTAGAAGCAAGTCAATAACTACGAAAACTGAAAATCCTAACTAAGTGAAACATTAATCTTATAATTTCATTGCGAAAACAAATTTCTTAATAAAATCCTGTAATTCCCTTGTATGTTTCACATTAGCCTCTCTAATCTAGCTAAAAAGAAAAAGAAAAAAAAAAGATAAAAGTTCCATCTTATTGGATTCCCTTATGCAGCATCGCTACCCACCACCATCATATGCATCCCTCTCTTTACTCTTCCATTTATGTCCCTACAAGTGCAGATTTTCTGTTTACCAGGCCTTCACCACTTCCCAGTGGAAGTACCTCGAGTAACTATCCAACATTCCCCTTTTCTTGTTGATTCAGTTGTTTTAGATCCTTCCAACCTGTCTCTGAACCGTGGCTCAAAAACAATTTCTTTAGCAATCGTTTGCCCATACAGCAATTATTTCTGTCGCTGAATGATATAGTATGGACCCTGGAGATGTTATTTTCTTTTGATAATATATATATATATCTTCCTAGGCTCAAGCTTAATGACTCAGCAGATTCTTATTAATAGGCTTTCATGTGTTTTCTAAATAAGGCTTAATGAAGTTAACCAAATAAACTAGTTAGTGTTTTGGTTGCATTGGATCAAAGAAGTACAAATCTGCATTTTAATCGTTAGTATTAGCATTGGAACCTGAACAATAAAATTGTATCAAATTCTGCATAATACCATATTAAAGCATCAAATGAACATACTGATTTTGATATTTCATCAGTTTCACCTCATCTTTGTTATCAGACTATTTACCAAAATGCCAACACTTCGAGCTAAAATTGATATTAATTTATAAAAAACACGTAACACGGATGATAAAGAAATAGGATAATGCTTAGTGTGGCCACAGTACTATGTACAGCTTAGACATCTGATACGACCAACTATGCAAAGCTGGTAAGACAATATGAAGAGGTCCAGTGCTTTCATAATAATTAAATCCACAAATTTGTCAAAAGTAAAGGTTATGTTGAACTTACTATACATCTATGATGCACAGACACGGACACGGCGACACGGATACGACACGACACGGACACGTCAATTATTTAAAATATAGGGTCAGACACAGGTTGAACACTGTATTATAGTTTTTATATTTTAAAAATAATGTATAAAAATTAAATAAGTATAATTTTAAAAATAATTTAGAAATAATAAGTCATTTAATTAGAATTTGTGCTTAAAATTATTAGTATTAGGATGCCATTTATTAGTCACCGAGAGAGGAAATGAAAAAACCTTCATTGCCAGAAAGAAATGAAAATGAGCACATTCGATGAATGGGTATTAAGTGCGGACGTTGATTTGATGTTGTGGATAGGAAATAAGAAATTTAGTTTAAATCCCGCCAAATACAAGAGATTATATTTAAAAAAAAAAATCATAAAACATGTAAGATACGCGTGTCCAATTTGTATTTAATATTTTTTTAATCGGACACGTTTTCAGCGTGTCCGACACGTGTCGGGCGAGTGTTGTGTCGGACACTACACGCCTCTTTGAGGAGAAGTGTCGATGCATCATAGCTATACATTAGGGGTGTAAGTGAGTCGAGCTGACTTAAATTCAGCATGATAAATGGTCCAAGAGTCGACATTGATGAACAAACGAGCCAAGCTTGAGCTAGCCCCGACTCGACTCTTTAACTCGCAAGCTCATTTAAAATTTGTTAATATAGAATATACTTAAAATATATTAGGATTTAGAATTTTAAGTTGTCGAAAATGTTTAAAAATTATATCTCATTGTTGAAAATGTTTGAAAAATATATCTAATTTTATTGTATCAAATGATTCTTTATTAATTATAATTTCATGTTCGGTTTACCATTTTATTATAATAATTGCTTAAACCATAATCGTTTTCTCTCTAATAATAAATGTGTTGGCTCATGAGCCGGCTTGAACTTATTGAATAAAGCTCGAGCTCAAACTCAAATAATTAATCAAAAGCTCAAGCTCAAGCCATGAGTGACTCGAGCTCGGCTCAACTCATTTACACCCTTACTATACATAGAGTCAAATTATTTTCATTCTTCGTAGGTGATTGATCTCACTTCCAAAAGAAAATTCAAGTGTTTGTTTGGTTAAAACAAGATAGAACTATACTCATTCTTAAAAATCACCTTTAAAAAGGTGACAAGTGAGTCTAATCTTGAGGACTAGGAAAGTAACTTTTCTTTTTTTTTTTTAACCTTTAGTAAAAATAAATATTATTATACTAATCAAAACTTAATATGACAAGGGTAAAACTGAAACTCTCTACTGCCTAAACTGAATTCAAATGAAGTGAGTTTCAAAACAAAAAATAAATATCCTCATAAACTCACTTCCTAAACTAGTGTTCAAACATTTACAGTGAAAAAAACTACCCCATAAAGTGACAAAGTGACAAAGTAACAAAGCAACAAAGAGAAGATCTCCATTCTTCCATGAGTGAACTTTATGTCAATTAAATTTGGAAAATTACATGGCTTTTAGCTATATAAGAATTAGCATGGCAGCCAAAGATACCCATATTCAACTCCTCTTTCCGAATCAAGCAAAAAAAAAAGACGATACAAACATAAGCACCACGGCACGCAACAAAAAGGTTGGTGGATTTGAGAAGTTTAGCTTCAAATATTAGCCTTTATGCATCTTATGTTAATAATTAATATTTTAGCATTTATAAACAAGCTTCAATTATTATAATTGAATTATTAAGTTTTACTTTATTTGCAATAAAAGATTTCTTAACTTCTCCAAGAAAAGAATAAAAAAATAAAAACTCAACAAAGCCAACGATTATGGTGTGATATCATCATATTGCTTGATCAATTGAAATTCAAATCAATAGCTGGCACAATATTTATAGGTTGGGATATCCATTAGGTAAATGTGAAACAATGTATATCCATCAAAATGCAAATCATACAATAAAAAAGGATAAAAGCACAAAATTCAACCAAGTGTATTCATTAAATTGCTTATTCATGGAGCACAATTCTTGTGTAATTCCTTGTGTTGTATACTTGTATTCCATTTAAAACTAAATTTTATTTTTAACAAAGCATTTAAAGGAAAAGCTAATTTTCAGTACAATGATGGAAACTACAAGGGAATAAAGTGATCTTCAGAAATGAAACAGGAAATTGCATGAGATGATGCAGTTGCGCACATTAAATTGCAAACAAAACAGAACCATAAAATCTTCTAAAGCAAGTAAACTGGAATCCAATAAAAAGTTGAATACCAGATCAAAATAGAGAAAATAACACGGCCTTTCTTACCTCCCAATTTCCAATCCTCAAAATCGAAGCTGGAAAGTTTGAGGCTTTCATCTTGTCAACAGAATTTGAAAGAGCGGCAGAATCGAATTCCTTGTTTTTCACAGTTTCTAAGCTACTGCCCGTGAAAGATGACGTTGAAACCGGCTTTCCCTGAGAAAGCCTCATTTGAATTAAATCCAAGAAAGATGGACTCTTTTTCAGCCGAAGACCAAGTGGACTTGGCTCTTCAAGTGGATCGTAATGTGCCGATGGCATGACCATCTTGCTTTCCAACTGCCGTAGGTCAAAATAGGAAAAAAATATTAAAGCATCTAATAAACCAAACGACAATGATTTGCACAAACTACTCTTCAAACAGAATTCCTTATCAAAGATAAATTTCCCAAATGTTCGTGACTACATCAATAAAAAAATGCAAAACGCAAAACAAATAGCCACTGATTCAAAGCACGAGTTCAAACTCAAGCAAAATCAGAATAAGAAACAAATTCCATCGCAAGGATAAGTTAAAGCACCACAACCTCTTGGAAAAGCAATTCCTAAATATGTCAATATCCCTAATACAAGTAAAAAAAATCTTAATCGACATCAAAAACCATCGGACTAAATCAAATACAACAACCTCGGACGACCCAAGCCGTGATAAGATGAAAACTGGCGGGAAAAGCAAGGAAACTACCTGCTCATCCAGCTCAGCTAGCTTCGATCTCTTGTTGAGAGGACCCTGCATTTGATCAAAATAGTCCTCGATCTCATCCTTTACTGCAATCGGCACAGCCGCCACCGTCGTGAATAGCTGCTTCGGCTCCGGCCAGAGCCTGTCGAAACTCGTTAGCTGAACCATCGTAATCCAAACTCAATCGAAAGTATTCGCTGATTACCGGGAAGAATAATCAAGCTTAAAAAACGTTAATAGCCAAACCCTAACCCTAGAACAAAATGTCCGTTCAGTAGAAGCCGAAAAAAAGGAAGAAAGGGGGAGATGAACCGACTTCGCTAACACCCATTTCCTTTTTGGTTCCGCGTCAAAGCTTCCCGATATATCGAGGCTTATTAAAAAAAGTAAGGAGCTGTTTGCATGCAGGATTTAGATCGGATTTGAAGCGGATTTGCCAAAAATGCAAAACCAAATCTGACGGTAAATCAAAGCCGGTTGACGGAAAATTCCCTCTTTTCGGGAAAATTATTTCCTCCCATGTCCGGATTTGTTCCAATACCAACTTGGTCGTGTCATGTCATCAAAATATATTAGGATCCAGTATATTCGGATGATATGGCGCATTTGAATTGGGTGTCCGGACGTCCCCGGACGTAATAATTTGCCTTTCGTGGTAAATCCCGGATTTACGAAATCCTTTGGTTCGGCAGATTTATGTGATTTGGCCGAAGAAGCGCGCGACGAACTCGAACAGCCACCAAGAATAACTCGTGCAAAACTTTACACTCTGCGAAGCAACGAAGCCGAAAGTAATAGAGAAGAGAAAGGATAAACCTAGACTCATATAAGTTATTGTGGGAGAACTTTAAGTAATATAATTTAAAATGTTAAAAATTAAGTAATACTAATTAAATTATTACTAAAATTATTATTTAAATCCTTGTTATTTCAAAATAATTAATAGGATTACAATATGATTTTAAATGAAAATAATTGTTATAAAATATTATAAATAATAATTAACCCCCTTAAATATTTTAACCATCTTAAATGCTTTAATTATCCAAGAAATACATATCAAATATTTTAACCACCTTAAATCCTTAATTGAATAGTCAAACAATTACATAGGATTTATCGTAAATGTTGTCAAACAGTTTTCAGGATTTAACCACCTCAAGATTTTACGAAATAATTCTTAAATAAAATCCTGGGTGCTACCAAACAGCTCCTAAAGATCTGTTCCAAGCCAAATTTTTTGTTAAATAACCTATTTATTTAATATTTGATTTCAATTCAATGAATTATATAATATCAACTTAAAAAGAATATAATTATAAGTTATATTTTAAGATAATTTTAAATAATTTTAAATTCTTCTCTAAAAGTTAAAGATAAATTTTATTAAAATAAATTAAATTGTTTTAAATTTCATACAGGTAATTTAATTCTTTATTTATAATTAAGCCTTTATAGTTTATACACTTTTCAAAAAAATTAATGATAATGATAAACTCAAATAATTCCAATAAAATAATTTTAAGAAAAATTGAACATTTAATAAAAATTCACTTGATTGGCACAAATCATAATGTCCTTTTTATATTAAAATTTTATAAAATTAAAATTAAAATTATTCAAACACCAATTTCATCAAGCTTATAATCAAGCTGAGTGAATTGATAAGGCAAACTCAACGGCATCAAAGTGATCTAATTTGAGTCCAAATAAACTCAAATCAAGCACAAGAAGTAAAGTTGAAAACTTCGTAATATTGATTAAAAGATCTTCGAATATTACATGCTTATAACCAAACTGAGCGGCTTAATAAGAAAAATCCAACAAGCCCAATATAACTCTATTATGAAATTATTATAGCACTTAAATACTAAATGAATATTCTATAATTAAAAGATTCAATATAAATCGTTTGATGAAGTATTACAAAACCTTTGCTAAATTCACCAAAATGTCACTCCCAAAATAATATAAATTGAATCATGTTCTCCATTATAAAGGAAATGAATTTGAGTACGAAAAAAGCTTAGAGATATGACGAACTCTCTACCCAATATTCAACGTCGACGATCGCCATCACCACCATCGTTGCTTGTCTATTGTCATCTTTCAACTTATCATCTAATTACAGTTGTCCGATCATCATCATCAGACAATCATCAACCGAACGTCATAATCCATTCATTGTCATCTGATTGTCATCACTGATCAATCATCATTTGACTATCATTACTAAGCCATCATATGTAATCATCATCGTCCGACTGATATTATCTAACTATTACATATCCAGTAGTTTGCCTCACATTCTTAGAAAGATCAATATGAATTACATATTTTATGATTCCATCTCCTCAATTAAGGGGAAGTGCTAACTCTTATAATTCTAACATGATAAGATGTTTTACATGACATAATTTTGAAATTGTAATCTTGATCATAATTCTACTATATATGATACCTACACAGTAGTAGCATATAGATTTATTTACTCAATACTTTTTTTTTATAAAAATTGGTTGTTAGCATTCATATTTTTTATTTATAACAATTGAATACATTTGTAGGTCTCAAATGGCCAACTGGGTTGTTAGCTTATCATTTTTATTTTTACATATTTTATTGTTAGAATACTTTTTACTATTATGGATGGGTTATTTTATTATTATTATTATTATTATTATTATTATTATTATTATTATTATTATTATTGATACGTCCTCCAAAAATTATCTTGATCGGGCACGAATCTCGATGCAAAATCAGATAGGAAACTTCAAAAATTAATTCGGAGACCATCCGAACTCCGATTTCAGCAAACTTACAGTCGAACTGAGCGTCTCGGAAATACGAACCCAACGACACCAAATTCAATTCGATCCGAGTCCAAATGGGTCCAAATCATGGACCCGAAGCGCTGTTAGAAGATTCAAAACCGGCAATTTTGAATACCAAACGGTCTGCCGATTTTTAACGAGCTTTATCTCAAAACGAACAGCTCAACGAGACGAATCCAACGAGCCCAAGATCACCAAATTCCCGAAATCACTAAGGCCTCCAATGCCTGACGAACGGTCCATGATCAAGGGGTTCAATATCGGCCGTCCATCCAACCACTCCCCATTTACCCTTGATCTCTCACCTATTTACGGGGCATCCACTCCAGAAAATCTATAAATAAGACCCTCATTTCTCTTGAAAGGGGGCTAAGCAAGAAGCAAAGAAGGAAGAGGAGAAGGAGAGAAGGAAGAAGCTCCTCCTCGACCACCGCGAACCTTCGCCGGACCAATCCGCCGCCGGAGCCTCGCCGGACCACCACCGGAGCCTCGCATGGACCACCACCTCTAGGCCCGACGTTCAGGCCCGACATTCTGCTCAAGTCCCGACGTTCTGCTGAAGGCCCAACGTTCTGCTCAAGGCCCGACGTTCAGGTCTGACGTCTTCATATGAGGCTCTTACCTTCGCCAAAGGCCCTCACTTTTACCAACGGCCTTCACCTTCGCCAAAGGCCCTCACCTTTGTCAGGGGACCTTGTCTTCGCCAGATCATCATCAAATGTCGTGTGCTCCACCAGAACATCACATGAGGTCGAGACTTCCGCCGGACCACTACTTGAGCCTTTGAGCTCCACTAGGCCATCACCTGATGCCCACATTTCTCTCAGAATACTGCCGACTACGGTCCTTTCGATCTCCACCAACAAACAACGGTCTTTCTGACCCCGGTCTCGTGCCAACAACGGTCTTTCAGACCCTGGTCTCCTGCCGACAACGATCTTTCAGACACCGGTCTCCTGCCAACAACGGTTTTTCAAACCCTGGTCTCCTACCGACTACAGTCCATCCGACCTCCGTCGCCTACTACGGTCACTCCGACCTCCATCACAAGACAACGGTCTTTCTGACCTCAGTCTCCTGTCGGATATGGTCCTTCCGACCTCCGTCGCCTACTATGGTCCGTCCGACCTCCATCAACAGACAACGGTCTTTCTGACCCCGGTCTCCTACCGACTACAGTCCTTCCGACCTCCGTCGTCTACTATGGTCCTTCCGACCTCCATTAACAAACAACGATCTTTCTAACCCCGGTCTTCTACCGACTACGGTCCTTCCGACCAAACAAACATGTATATGTAACTCCTATCATGTAATGCAATATATATGATGTATATTTGCTACATCAATACAAGGCCTTCTCCAAAGGAAGGGCCTCATTTGTAATCGACTGCAAATATTAGTGGATTCATTCAAACTGGGCCAGGCCCCGTGGTTTTTTCCCCTTTTCAGGGGTTTTCCACGTAAAAACTCTGGTGTCTCTTATGAATGTTTCACTCTCTCTCTTATCTACTTGTGTGTTGAAACTTCGTACAATGCTAAGACGTTAAACCATATATTTCTCTACCGCCGATAATATTCCAGGACGCAACAATTATTATTATTATTATTATTATTATGTGTGTGTTGAATGATAACCACAACTTTAATATTGTACATTAATGATTAGCGGCTCCACATCATAAATTTTGATGACAAATGAAATTCCCTCCAAATAGAACTTAGGCAAAATTTCATGTTGTACTCGACCTAATATAATATTTTATAATACATTAGATATATTAAGTTGGGTCATGATATCACTGATGCAACTATGGTTGCCTCCAATGAGTACTAGTTGTAAATGCCTCTCGAGCGAGTGCCCTATGTGGGTTTTGTTGAAGTGGAGATTAATGTAACATATGAGACTATTATCGTGGAGTTGATAGATGTATATCTCTTATAATTTGGATGAGGGACCCTCTTATATAGACGAGTCAACTCAACTAGGGTGAATTTTCATTTGTGGAGAGTTCACATAAGATAAGTACCTCATTGGTTCAAGGTCTACTAAGGTCAAATTCTTCCACAATCAAACCCTTGGAGGGTGTGTGCTTCCTTTGTTGAGCTTCTTTAGGTGAGCTTCAATGGTGCAAGTGTCTGGCCGTGTTGAATTTTATTGGGGTGGGTCTCCTTGTGCAAGGGGTATATTTTGGATGAGTTTAGCTCTCTGCTGAGCTCCTATGAAGCATACTTGACCGGGCTTCACAAGTTTTTTGTACACACATATTTGGGCGTATATTTAGTTTCTCAATTCTTTTGCCCATTTGGAGAGCAACATATAAAAAGGATGAAAATTAAATATAAAATTTTTATTATTTATGTCAATTGATTAAAGTGATGGGCTAAAAAAAATTATGAACATCATTAATGGAGGGTTTATTGCTTTTCCAATTCATTAAATCCCTCTTTTCTCAATAAAGGGACAATTAGGCTAATATAAAGAGGCAACCTTATCATGCATATATTATTCTTCTTAGTGGCCTTGGCTATCCTATAAGTTTTTTGCCTAAGGGTATCAACTTGCTTACAAAGAGTTGTCACACGACTCTTACTTAGCATTGAATCAAGATCACTTTAATCCTTGGACTCAAGTTAAACCACATTTTATGTATTATTATGGGGAATCCTCTTAGGCATTACTCTCTAAACTTACAGTTAAGGATGTTTGATTTCTAATCTAGATGAGCTTGCAACTTCTATTTATGCCATTGTTCTATAGGCTTGCTACAATGAGCGAGTTTATTGAGCTTTAGTCATGAAAATTTTAGATATTTATGAGTTAAGGTTAGTATGACCAATGGGGCGGCATTGTCTCTCAATCTACCCATCGTTTGTTCTTCAAATGACTAGCCCTAGTTGGAGATTATGAGTGCCTACCATTTACTAATACTTTAATATCTTTTATGAGTGGAAAATCATAACATTGATTTTCTCTATTAGAAATGAGTGACTTGCAACTTCAAAGGAGGTGTGTATTTATGCACACTTATTGGGGTGTCACTTCAAATATATAGAACTTTGTGATAAATTATTATTGATTTAGCCTTCTTGTCATGACACTTTATTCTCCTCATTCCTTGTTATAAATTGTGATTAGGTGTTTCTTTCTTCGTCATTAGCCTATTCCTCATATCATCTCTATATCTTTCTCAATCAACTTACGACATTGTTGGATGCCACTCTTTGTGATGAGGAGGAACTCTTTGTGAAATTCAACATTGATGATGACATCATGTTACAGACTCCTTCAAAAGGCAAGTCTCCAAACTCACTGAAGAGGGCAAATTATGTTTCATCTAGGTTAGTTCCATTGTGATCCATGACTTCCTCTTTTTGTAGGTGTGACATGGGCACTATGGGCTAGTACTTGCCCTTATTATGGCGAACATCTTCATCGTTTTGGCTATACATTTTTAGCCTTTTAGATGTGGCAAGCTCTAATAGAGCACATGCCTCTTTCATAAACTATTCAAGGCAAGGCAAGTCAAGTGGAGTTGCATTCTGTTCTACTCATCTCATCTACAAATTTAAGGGTTTAGGGTAATGTGTGACAAGAGGAAGAGATTCTTCTTATGAAGTCAACTGCATGGTGTCCTCCCAACCTGATAAAACCCACAAACTGAAGCATACCCCAATATCTAAGTTCTAAATTGAACAGGTCCTATCGTATTGAGCTTTAACAAGCAAATCTCAATATCTTCTAAATTAACTTAAAAATAACAATAAACATAGAGCTACTAACGACGCCTAGTATTGAAAATAAACTTATCAAGAATATTTGTTTTTCATTTATCATAAAAAGTGCATATACAATCTCAGTGCATGACTATAAACAAAAGCTATGGACCAGAGTAATAAAAACTAGACTACTTACCTTTTCTAGACCCTAAAAATAGAATGTAAAACAACGATGAGCTAAAACAACTATGCAGACCACAAATACCAATCAAAATTTTCAAATGTCACTTTTATTAAATATTTTTTTTTTAATTATCAAATGCAATATAATAATTTATTGTGCTAAGCAAATCATAATACCATAGCAGTTATCCAAAATTTTAAATAATAATATTGAGAAATTAAATAAATTGAAATTTTATATGAACTTTATTTCGCATAATAGAATGTAACAGATTTCTCCAGTCCCAGACAAAATCTAAAGATTATGATCATTATAACACCCAGCAAATAGTCTTCCCCCTCTTTTAGACATAATTCAAGATTGTAGCTCCTTATGACTCCAACTGATAGAATTTAAAAGAGTTTCAGATTCCCTGCATCAGACATAATCCAAAAGATTCTAACCTCATATATCTCCAATGGACATTTTTCACATCAAAACTTGTATAAATCAATCAATATAATACATGATTAATAACAATATAAAAAATAAAGTATAAAAGAACTCATTGCAAAATCTTGTAATTTACTATAACAATAAGCAACAGAACACACTATTGAGTGAAAATGTACTATTTCAGAATTTCATCATATTATCAAGGATCGTGCAGAACACCTTTTAAGACTTCAATCGTATTACTCACTATTTTTCTGGAATCATGATTATTTTATATTCAATTAAAAAGGTGCATATTTTAGAATGCCTGGTGTAAAATTGGTAAAATTGTTCAAAAGTATTTAAAATCTCAATCTTTATAACATGTAAAAAGTTATGATATGAAAATTTTACCAATATAAAATTATTCATATTTTTTTTGTAACAAAAATATAATTTTAATAAAAAATTTGAAAATCTTCACATTTTTAAAAATTGAGATAGACATAGTATGACATATTTCAATCCGGATAATTACCAGAACTGGACTGAAGTGGAAAAAAAACGAAGCAACCCAAATCGAGCTTTCTCTCTCTAATATCATCCCCTATCTCTCTCTGGTGTGGGCTACCTCAAATAAAACTGAATCAATATAACAGTGAAAAAAAAAAAATTGGGACGAAAAAACATATTTAAAATATTAAAATTTGATCTGGCACCGCAGCGCCATGCATCGCTAGCCACAGCACTCTTCAAAAACTCACAGTGCTATAATGCTATTGCACATTGCCACACCGAATTAAATGCAAATTTTCTCGAGATCCGCTAGGCGTTTATGGCAATAGTTATTAACCTAGAAAGGAAAATAAAAGAAGTTTAAACCTTATTAACAAGGTCCTCCTTACATGATATTGGATTATCCACAACACTGCTACATTGTTCAAATTATCATATTTTGAATAAGAAACTCATCATCAACTGTACATCCTTGGTTAGCAGAGATTAACAAACATAAGTGATGTGAAGAAGAAAAAAAGCAATTACTCAAAACTAAAAGAAAAAAAAAAAAAGAAATCATGTATCAGTCACCTTATCGAAAAATTTAACAAAAAAAAAGATTTATTAAGATACACCAATCTCATCCTAACATATAAGGAAAAGTATCTGCAAAATTAGCAAGAATAGCAATTAAGGGCTCCTTCAATTAATATCAGTATAAGAAGACAATGGATATAATGCATTTATACATAACCATCATCTTAATTTCTCCTTCATATACAATACACTTTTATAAATAATCAAGTCTTAAGTACCATGAGAACCCAATGGACTGCACCAAGTTGTCTGTAATCATGATTCAAATTTCAAGCCTCACATACATTTCATCCCTGTAATTATAAGATTGCGATATTTGAGCAATTAAAGAACATCATATTATATTAAACTCATCTACCATGCTAATGCATCAAAGGTGCAGTCTTTCCACTGTTACTAAACTAAATAATTTCCATTCATTGTGAACTTTTCTGTGTCCTACCAAAATGGCTTGCTAGAACTGAACCAACATCTCATCCAATTCCACAGAAAAAAAAAAATAAAGGCTGTATCAACTACACTTGAAGAAAAAGCTTCAGAGGATTCCAAAAAAAGAGATAAATACCTATTAGCTGTTAACCAGAAATGCCAACTCAACATCAGCTTCTTTAAGACCAATCATTACTTCATTTTCCATAAGCATCTCAGGAGGAAGAATAGTAGCATTTGGATCACTTTTTGGCACCAGAAATAACAAAGGTAATGGCAAAACTCTGATGATATTGCGGAACAAAATAGCTATCCATAGGTTATTGAATTCAGTTCTTGTAACCTTTAAGGTATGAAGTAATAACCCGCCGCCCGATGATGCCGAGAGCAAGCCAAAATTCTCAATGGACATAAGTAATGCAAAAAAAGTTCCTTCAATTCCAGAAGGACAAAGCTTTGAACTTAGAACAAGAATGGGCATCCACTTGATGCGCCCAATCATTTGAGAGATACACTCATCTAAAACAACAAAGAGAAAGTCGGGTATACCGAGCTTTAAGTTGAGACGAAGTATTAATATCAAATCTAACATGCCAGCGAAGCCAGTTAATAGCTGGCCCCAGAAAAGCAAGCTGCGGAATTGGAAGTCCCTGAGAAAATTTTGGTAGAATAGGACCCCAAGAAGAGAACCGACTGAACCAATTGAGAAGATAAATCCAATAGTTTCCTGCATAATCAGGTATTGATGTTTAACAAAATGAGAAGATATTGCTAATTGAATGAGCTATTAATGCTTCTATTAGGGGTTGATCAGTTGATGTATGCAGCCTTTTGTTGTTATCGCAACAAAGTTTTTCTGTGTTTTGAAGCTGTAACATTCCAAATCACGGTGGAATCAACCTAATTATTAGAGTAGTCTAAGGCTTTGTTTGGCACGGCTTCCTTCATGCTTCGTAAAATATTTTTTTAGTACAAAAATTAATTTTTGTACTAGAAAGCTGCTTTAAGAAGCAATAAAAAAAGTCGTCCCAAATGAAGCCTAAGCCCACCCTATTTTAACCTAGTAGATATGTTACACGCTCAACAAGCATTTACAGATACCTGAGAAAAAGAAGGGCCTTCTTTATTATCGGTATACCAATAGAACATCCCTTCATGAATGTTCAGGCTCAAGGAAATTGAAATAAACATGTATAAACATGGTCTCCAGACTTCAGGGCACTTCAAAGTTGACAACATAGTTTGGCCAGCTTTAAGAAACTTATGATGTACCTAAGATAAGAATGTTCAACAATCTAATACTGCTTAAGCAAAGGAATAAGTAGACAGAACACCAAACAAAGTTGAAAGATGATGTTCAGATTCACCTCAGTGTAAGCGAAATTGGGTGTAGGAATCTCCTTAATCAAGATTCCAACTGACAACACCAGCAATGATGGAATGCTTAGCAAGCCAAGTACTCCCTTTGATGCATATCAAAGAAAACAAATAATAAAACAAGTAGACTTAGTAGTTATGGGAATTTTTTCCTAGGGCCATTAAAAAAATTTTATAATAATTTTTGGTTTCCTAAGGGGCTGTTTGGTATCAGATTTACAGCGGGATTTAAGTCGGATTTACGCTAAATCCAGCCAAACAGTATTTTGCGTGACTGTAAATCCGGCGACAACGTAAATCCGGAAAAATCCTAATCCGATTACTCCACGAATTTAACGGGATTTATAGTTGAGTGGTGCAGGTACTTGTCTTCGCGCAGGTATCATCCCGACTTCGCGGATTTAACTGTTTTAAATCCAACAATCTGTTGCCAAACAGTTTCTCAGGATTTAATATTTATCATACCAAACAACTTTTTTGGATTTAACGGCCTCAGGATTTAGTGATTTACTAAATCCGGATTTACAGGATTTACTAAATCCTACTAAATTAAATCCACTCCAATACCAAACAGCCCCTAAGACTTCTTTATTAAAAGAGGAGCACCATCTTATGCTTGTATCAGAGGATTAAGGCAGTAATTCTTCACAATCAAACGATTGTGATGATATCTACAGCAATAAAAACATGACTTAAAAATCAATTGAGTAAACATGCAGAAAATTCTTGTAAATTTTTGTGTAAGTTTTAATCTTCATTTCCATGTTCTTTTCTATTTTATGTTATATTTTGCTCTTGACATTTGAATTATGTTTTGCCTATTTCCCAACATTAATTGCAAGCAAGATACCCTTGAATGTCAAGCTAGATACTATAGGGATACATTTAGAATATAACCTGTGATCCCATGGCATGAATAAGTATCCCACTAATAGAGAAACCCAGAAGAGCTCCTATGGCTGAACTTAGTTCACATAAGCTTTGCATGTCTGATGCAAGTGCAGGTTTCGCAATACTGTTTTGTGCAACGAATGCATCTGTAACCACATCTGCTACAGCAACACTTGCGCTGCCCGAGGTCATCACAAGCAATGCAAACATAACATGTAGTTTGCTATGGAGTGATAATGTTAGCATTGAGACCACTCCCAAAAGGCCTACATGAATAATATAAAGTTTAAATAAGTACTGCTACTTATGTTGTGACAGCAAACAAAACGCCATAATCAGAATTCAAAGGCAGAAGAACAAAATAATGACATCTATATAAGAAATTTGAAGACATGCAAATGAAAGAACGAATCTTCAATCAGAGCACTTTGATAAAAATATTTGGAATTCAAAAAAAAAAAAGTAAGGGATAAAAAGCATGACGGAAGTTATAAAACTTCATACAAGAGCACACCAATATATTATTTAAGGTTTACTTTTTCCCAAAAAGCAGAGCAGAGAAGGCATTACACCAAATGCCATAAATCTTCAAACAACTTTAAGCAGCAAACGTTCGTAGACTTGGTAACTATCAGATATTATAGTTCAAAATATCCAAATTTATTATAAGAAGAGAGGGCATCAATATTCTGGGAAAATAGTTGGAAGCCAAAACATCATTCATCAAATGGCCTGCTCAAAATGTGATCTAATAGCCGTTTCTTCTTTAATGCCAATCCATATCCTATTTGATTGTTCTGCTGAGTAATCCATATCTGATTATAGTGACTTATTTATTATTACAAGAATAAGACCATAATTTCATGGGCAAAGACAGTTTTTATGCTCAGGGAAATAAATTAGTGCATGGAATGATTACAAGATGTTGAATCCATAATTATCTGTGAATTACACCTAATTATATTGAGAATACTAAGAGAAAAAGAGAACAAGAAAATAGAGAGAAGGAAGAATTCTAGAGTGAGAAACTCTAGGATTTCTATAAATTATGCTCAATTATAGAAAATTGCGTATAATGAGCTCACCCCTCAGCCCCTTATTTACAGATTTGGATTGGAGCTTTAGATTTATAGAATTAGCTACATATATGGTTATAAAAAAAAAGAGAAAAATATAATAATTGTGCAACCTGATCAGAAAGTCCGACTTGATGTAGTCATCTACTAAGCTCTTAAGAAATTGTCGGCTTGGCATGCATTAACAATCAAGTAGCCAAGTTGACGATCAATAGTTTGCACTGAGATATCATCTCTCTTTGAATAAACATTAGAGCCGACATTATAGATAACAATCACCAGGGCAATTTGATAAACTATACTCATCGAATGTGATTTGTTCTTAGATCATACTTGCCTACTTGAGGCGAGTTCTCTAGGAGGTTGGAGTGTCTCTTTAAACCTAAAACCAATTAACTTGATTTAAACCAACATTATTTATCTTGAAACTTTTTTTAATATTTGGGTGTACAAAGGGTGTCCTCCATGAAACACTTGTGATCATTCTTTGTTTTTCCTAAGATCATTCCAAAAGTGTGTTGTATTAAAGAGATGTAGCGATGCATGTTTGTTTTGCAGAAAGTCGCTTCTTATAAAATCAATCTAGAATCTATTTGGATTTTAGTGAGTTTCACGTTTATCACCATGACATTAATTATCTATTATTTTAACCAAAAACAATTTAAGCAATTCTGAAAGTCTATGTTCACGGGAATATAATTCATGCATAGTAATTTTTAGTCTTTTTTTTCTTTTTTTCTAGTCCATTTTAAGTGTAAGAAAATGTCTATGATGTTGATTTCTATATGAACAAGATGTGTTCTCTGACTAATCGGTCTAATTCATTACTATATGATTTCAACTCAATCCATTGAATTCCAGCAAGCGCATATGGAGTTCTTGTTGCTATAGTCCATGTGTATTCCTGCTAGTGTTTCTGCCACTGTTATAGTTATAGCTGAAAGCCTACGACAATTTATTCATCATGGGCAGCCTCTACTGCTTGTTGCCTCTGCAATTTACCGCCTTTGGAATTCCCACTAAGGTACTATGCCTCTTTTATATTCCCACTATTTTATTGTTATGCTGCGGTCACCAGTAAAGTATTGAAATAACAACTTGTCTTCAACAATGCCTCAACTTTTCTATGTCATTCTTTTGTCTTGAAGTTGCCTGGGTCCATAATTTTTTGCGCCATGCCTTTCCACCTCACTGTTTTGGGTAAATACTTTCCTACTTTTGTCGGGACCTCACTATTTGACAACCAGCTTTCCTTAATGCGAGATCGGGTCTGCGGCCGAGAGGTCGACGGAAGAAATTCATCCCATTTCACCCAGGCTCTAATCCCCTAACCGTACCAAAAAAAAAATCCTTAATAAAGGTGCAAAATTAATAATTATTTATTGCTAAGCTTAACAATGCAAATTATAGCTTAAGGATGCGGTTTTACCAGACCATGAAATTTCAATAATACAGCGAACTAGAAATCTTATCTACTCCTCATAACATGAAGGCCAAAGCAATAAGCTTAAACATCAAAATTTCTCTGATAAAGGTGATAAAGGGCCTTCTTATTGAAAAATTTTTAACAAAAAGTTTACCAATAAGAAGAAGAGCATGGTAGAAGAAGAGGGAAGACTTTCATATATCACACATAAAATTTTTTATTAAGAAAACCATCAGTGACCACCTAGAAGAACTACAAAGTTTACTTAGTAACTATTAATACCATTAAGCTGAAGCAATAACAATGCAAGTTTAACAAATTGCAGTGAAAGATAAGATGACTGATAAGAAAATTGAACATTAATCGAATCAGAAGTAACCAAACTTTCCTTGCCTGCAATTATAAGGTATGGTTTTCGCCTGTATCCAGCCACTGGAAGAACATCAGTGAAAAGACCCCAAATAGGCTTTACAATCCATGGAGTGTACACTATCCCTTGGTATAACTGTGCCGCTGAAGGCTGCACTTTCTGCACATCTTTCCAGTAATAATCAATGGCAACTCTCGATGTTCCACCGCCAAATCCCTGGCTGATTCCATTAACTACAATGACCCCAAACACAAAACTCCAATGTGTTTCCTTCGAAAGAACTGTAAGCCAATTTAGTGGTGATAGTAGAAAAGCCCCTCGGTGACACTTCGGTAAAAATACAACCCCATAAGATTCATCAGTCTCCTTTGAAATTCCATTGGACACCACAATGGGCTCCTTTTCACCTTCAATGATCTCCTCCGATAAGCAAATTTCACAAGGTAAAAGGGAACCCATTAGAAAACTAGGGTTCTTCTTTGAAAAGGCGAGGTTCTTACAGAAGAGGGAATTATGATAGTATTTGGTTTCTTACACGTACAGAAAGAAAGGATCTTTGATAGACTTCTCAAGTGTACAAGCAAACAATGAAAGATGGTTCCAGTCAATCACTCAGATTTATAAATTTGGTTCATTTAATTGGGCACAGGAATTACTTCAAGATCTCTGGACTGCTGTGAGCGCAAAGAAGTTACCAAAAAAAAAGGATCATCCAAAAAGTGAATTTGACTTTGCAACTTCGAGATGAGTAAATACCAGCTGAAGACAGGGAGTTGACGCTTCTGTCAGAGAAGTTGAGCAAAATTCTTCCAAAATCTCAAGAACCTGGAAAAATTCTTTCGCGCTCCGCAAGTGGGGATCTTAATAAATTTCAAGAGAACAGTTTGACTTCAATACCAATTCGTGAACGCCACACATGGCAGCTTCTAAGGTTATCTCACATTCTCACTGGTCGTCTGTGCGAAACACAAACAATCAAATTTATAAGCTAAGAATTAAATCAGAATTAGAACATAAATAATAAAAATATAAAACAACACTAATTATCAGTGTTTTAATATAAATTACTTTTAGTTTTTCTATTAGTTTGACCATTTATATTCTATTGCCGTTCATAGGCAGGTTGTTATAGCACAATGGCTCATCCTATTATTCGCAAGTGTCGCTATAGGTCACTTGTCACTTTTCATAGGCAAGAAGTCTCATACACCTCAAGTTCTCAATCACTGTTTGTAGGTACTTGCATAAACTAAAGCTCTTCTATATTTGCTCATAAATAGCATATAATATGTATGACGGGTCCCCTACAGTGGCTCGTAGGTGTTTATGTTTGTTGCAAAATGACCACTCCAGTTTGCGAGGGCTTATTACATTTACCTTTCGATGGATGGTTGTTGACTGCATGAATGGTCTAACATATGTTGCATATTGTTCATTAACGCCTGCAGGTGGACGACTGTAGCATGATGGGTCTCCTACATTTATTTGTAAGTGGTATATATATTTGTGTCCATAGGGGATTCGTCATACTTGTGATATATCCTTTGTTGTTATCCACAAATAGGTCATATCAACCATCTTTGTTTGCATTCAAATCAATGTATTCATATGATGTTGCATCGTTGTTGATTATATGAATCCCCGGCTTTTGCAAGTTAAAGTGGGCTACCATATGAGCTACATTCATTATTGAGTTCTTTTTGTGCATGTTGGCTAGCAAGTAGTAGCTCAATGCACATATGTGATTTCTGCTTAAAAGATAGCATTGTACATTGATTTGTTAGATCCTTGCTTGTAAGGGGTCAATGTATTTACATGATTGTTGGTTGTATAGATGATTTAGCATATGTTGCATAATGCTCGTCGTCATCCGTAGATTGATTATTATGCACATCATATCTCTCATAATTGCTTGCATGAGTTCTTGTTCACAACAAGCTTCTGAATTCAGCTTGCATATGTATTGTCACATTATAGATCCCCTACTTATGAATCCAATGCAAGCTTCTTAAATGTGCTTGTAGGAGAGTCACTATACTGGTGACATATCCGATTTACATACGAACCCTCACTTCATAGGTTTTCTACTTGTACATTTACTGCAATCCCCTTTAATGTACTTATGGGGAGATCCTTGTACTTACATCATGTATACCATCCTGATTAAAAGGCAATATAGTGCATCAGTTGTATGCAAGCTGTTACTGTTGACTACAAGGCATTGTTACATTCATCGCATCTTGCCCTCGTGTGAGCTGTTGTGCACATGCCAGGTCTTCCACCATTAATTGCAAGTGCCACCATTTCAATCTATAGGTCGGTTGTTACTTGCATATAAGTTCTTCATTGTTCCTTATAGCAAGTGTATGTTACTTGTAACTGATTGGGTGTTGCTTGGAATTGATTGAATATCGTCATTTATCATATGTGTGCACTAAAGACCCTGTTTGTCACGAATCCTCTACTTGCTCGTTCAAGATTGTTTAAATGACTTAAATTATCATTTAATATTTGCATTTCTTTATTTAATTGTGCATTTTAGAATTTAGGATCCAATTCCATGTTCATTTTGAAAGTCATATTCCCTATCATTGAGCTTGAATCAGGTCCATGTTGTTCTTTCAATTTTGTGCGTTCTCACTTTGAATTTCGACAGTACCTCGGCATATCAAAGGTTTGGGGAAAATTTGAGGAGTCATAGCCTTCCCACCATGTTAAGAAAAGGGTGCATGGTCGATATCGTATGACTCTACAGGCATAGTCTTTAATACCACCACGCCAAGAAAGACATGCATGGGTCTTCGGAGCTACCTGTTTTAAAATCTATAATTGTTTTCTCGCAAGCACTAATGCTTATATACGGGTACTTAATTTTTACCCCATCACGTTAAGAAAAGCATGCACAAAGATTATCTGTCTCATCGCAAGCATCACACGGAGTTTCCTCTCACCGTGCTAAGAAAAGCACACATATGTGGTTGCTCGCTCTGCTACAAGCGTCGAGGATAGGATTTTGACCTTTTGTACCTTTGCAAAGCAACGAAGGTGACGATTGTGTCAATGTTGAGGGCATGTAGAATAAGGTGATAGAATTTTTCTTTTGTTTTTTTCATTTCATCTTTTTTTTCTTTTTGGAAATATTAACCATAATTATAATTTATAATTATCAATAATTAACATATTTATAATTATCAATCGTTATAATTAGCAAAGATTATAATCATCAATAATTATAATTAACAGTAATCATAATTATCAATAATAATAATTGACATTTACTAATTATAATCAACAATAATTATGATAGCATAATTATTGTAATTAAGAGTTAATAAAACGGGATTTATGTAGGTTTTGAGCGGGATTTAAGCTAAGTCCTGTCAAACAGGATTTAGGGAACGGTTAGATCTCACAGCCAGTTAAATCCTTAAACAGGATTTAGGAACTGTTAATCTCACAGCAAGCTAAATCCTCGGTTTCCCTCATGACTACCTTCGCAACTTCCAATCCAACAAAGTCGTCGGAGGGGGCTTGCGATCGGAGATTTAGCCGTGATTGAATTCGATCGAGTGCCAGGAGTCGACGATAGGAGGCATCGATTGAGGGGTTCGTGTGTTCGACAAGCGGAAGAAGCTCGAATGGGAAGGGGTATTGCAGCTGTAGCGATGTGGAGGCCTGGAAATCAGAAGAAGCAGAGAATGTCGAGTAAGATTTCGTGAAGGGATCGACGGCTTGCTGCAGGTGTGAGGTTTCAGTTGGCTTATGGAGGAGGCGTGGGTTTTGAACCAACAGGAAGAGACGTCGTTGAAGAAGGCCATAGTAGTTCGGGTAGGGGCTTCGTGCGTAAGGAAGGAGTAGAGAGATAAGGGCATCATTTATCACTCCAAAACTGTGGTGGAACTAAAAAATGTTGTGATTCATCTCCAATTGAACTCCATTTTACCCCTTTTGCGAAGGTAACCGTCATTCTTTCTTTTGCATGTTTCTTGGACAAATTCGGTAGAGACAGAAAAATAGCGGAGATGAATAGTGCAACGTCAATATTGACATCACACTATTCACATACAACCAAATAGCGGAAGTTTTACCGTTTGACCGGAACTCGGGAGCTCGCGAGCGACGCCATACAAGAATTTAGAGTTCGGTTGGAGATGCCCTAAGGCCGTTCCGTAGTGTATGCCTAAGAGAAAAATGAAAGCCTCGATTACAATATTAACAAATATTTTATGATTTCAAAATTATCGAGGATTTTAACTTTGAATTCTATTTGTTCACCTTTGAAAGATATTTTAATGTGAAATTCAAACAAGCAAAGGCCGACAAGCTAAATATTTCTTGGTATCTTCTCGTTAGCAAAGTCTAAACAATGAGACCAATCACTGCTTGGGTACCCTTCACGTTGTGGGAGATGGATGTTATTGGTCTATTTTCCATGACATTTGGGCTATGATATTTAAATTTTTGCTGTAGTAGACGACTACATCAAACCAATCATGTTCATGGTTCTAACACATTAACTGTTGAGGCTGTGTTGAACTTTCTCTGGCATAAATCTTTATTTGATTTGACCTTACTCTTGCATCTATCCCTCCAACCTTCATCACTGACCGTCTACGGTCCCTTTGACCTCCATTGTCCGACTATGATCTCTTTGACCACTAAGGTCTCCCATCGACTACGATCCTCGAACCACCGTCCATTAATTATAGTCCTCGGATCATTGTCGTCCAACTACGATCCTTCCATTCTTTGTCGCCCAACATTGGTCCATTGGACCTCAATTGCTCGACTATGATCCCTCTGATCACAATCTCCCGTCGACTCCAATCCCTCTGACCATCATCACATCACAACAATCCATCTGACCATTGTCACCTACTTAATATAGTATCCATCTGACCACTATCGCATGACAATGGTTCCCCGACCTCAATCGCCTGCCGACTATGATCCTTCTGACTACGACCCTTCTGACCATCGACACTCGACTACGGTCCTTCAACCTCAGTTGTTCAACCATGATCCTTTCAGACCTCCATGACCCGTTGACTACGACCCTTATGACATCTATCACTAATTGACTGCAATACCCCAAGACCTTCATCACCACAGCTATGGCCCCTCAAACCTCTATCGCCCAACTACAATCCCTCCAACCATTGTCGCATGATAACAATCTGTCAACCTTCGTCACCTAATAATTGTTCCTCCAACCTTGTTCACCCAACAATGGTCCATCCAACATTGGTTTCCTAGGTACATTCCCTTCGAACTACATCACCCGATAATGGTCCCTCCAAGCTCTCTCGCCCGACTACGATCCCTGACATCTGCCACCTAACTACGATCCTACGGATCAAATGAATAGGTTAACATTCTCTTCAAAACAACTATCATATCATTAAATTCTTTTTAACTCCAATTATGAGATTTATTTTATAAGATATATATTTACTGCATTGAGACAACACCTTACACTAAGAAAGAAAATCATTTATAATAAATAATGAATACTAATAAAATCATTTCAACTATAACCCTCTTAATTTTTCTTTTTCAAAAAATTTCACATAAAAATTATAATCTCTTATAACTTTTGAATTTCTCTTTATAATCTGTGTTACATCTTCATACAAAATTGAAACATTAAACTCTATCTCTTTATCACCAAAAATATGTTACATGCAACAAGTATGAAGGACTCAATTCAAAATAACTATTTAAAGTCATGCATCAAAGCTATGAGAGCCTTTCATTGAATGTCAAAATCGAGACTATTACAAACATAGAATAACTTTTTTATTACAAAATGTCCCACTTAATTCAAATTTAGCATTAAGCATCAATCTTAAATAATAATATTTTATCATGCATAAAATCCTTTTTTTTTTATTTTAGTTGGATGCCAAAATCCAAAAATTACAATGCATATTACAGATACACTACAAGCATATCAACACTAAAGCCATTTGCAGCACTATGCACATATATTGCAATTGCTCTTTGAAGGTGTAAAATACCTGATTTGGTTTAACAGACATGTCGCTAGCATTATAAGGCTTTGTTTGGGATGGCTTTATTATTACTTCTTAAAATAACTTTTTAGTACAAATTTTTTTTTTATTTTTTACTAAAAAATTGCTTTAAGAAGCAATAAAAAAAAACCATCACAAAAGAAACCTAAATCTTGAATTTAAAAGAGAAAAAAAAAAAAGACATTAACTCATTTTCACTCTTGCAAGAAAATACACACTAAACTTATTAGCTTTGCTTGTCTTATCAAAGTGAATCAAAATACCCTCTCTAATCTGAACAAACTTGTTCAAGAATGAAGAAACATACTGAACTTACATCATGTTTCAATGGAAGAACAAATCAAAAGAAGAAGCAGTTGAATTAAGCTATACACTCGATGATCAATGACAACAAATTGCACTTCTAGTTGACAAAATCGAGAAAAGCAAATTTAAAGAAAAAGTTCTGTGCAGCGCACTTTGAAGGAAACATAGCTGAGGCCGTGTAAGGAAAATTTAGCAATTTTTAGGCCAAGAATCTGAAATCAGCAATTTTCACTAGTTGCAGAAATTGAGGGCTTGAGAAAGATCATCTATTTTTTCTTCTTTTAGTTATACGAGTTCTCATCCTTTTGCAGCCCCAGACGGAGTTTGAAAAGTTTGGCTGGCTTGTCTTCTTTCTGCTCCCAAGAAAACCTCGACAGGTTGAAGCTCCACAGTAACATTGAACCACAGGGCCAAATTGCACAAACCTGAGTGAAAGGGATTCGATACAAATTTGTTAATCAAATTTTAAAATGATTAGGATGGCTAAACTTTTGAAGACATATGTCACAATGATATAGTTTTAATAAGAAAAGATGAGAGCAATCTATGATATATATTGAATGCAGAATTAAATCATATACTTCACGCATATGCCAGGTCAATATTATCATTTGTGCACATGCATTTCGTTACTTTTTTTTTTAGATAATACAAATCTCCATTTTAAAATTATTTAAATTATATAAGCCCCCTGCAAAAGCATCCATGTCAACAGAGGAGCAAGGCGAAAGAACTTTTATTCAACTACGTGGGCTCGGCTACATGAATATTTTTTTTTTATTTTCATTATATTTGTTAAGAGTCAAATTCTCATTTAATCTAATAAAGAAAGGTCATTTTTAATATTTTCTAACCAAGTCTTCTTAGGTCTAACTCTACCTTTCTTAACATTAGCAAATCTAATACATCTACTTTCCTAACTGGGTCATCGAAAGGCCACCGTTTTATGTGACACATAATTACCAAGTTGATTTAATTGAAACTATATAATTCTTGTTCATATAATGTTAAATTATTATAATGTATTCATTGAATTCTTTAGTAGGTTTCATATAGCCTATTGAATAAATGTTGCTCACTGTTGTTACCAACATATTATTTTAGGGAAGGGCAAGAGCCCGATTGAGTAGAGAAAGTTGATAAGGGTTTGAAGTTCAGATTGTAGGTATGTTCTTATATATAAGAGTAGTCTCTTGGCAATCCAATCCGGCTATGCATGTTGGGTTTATGTGAAAAAAATGTACATAGATTGTTGTCCATTACTCTTATGATGATAAAAATGAATGAAATTAAGTTGTAAAAAATTGGAGAAATAAGAACAACTTCAAATTAGATCCTAGGAAGAGACATGGGGTCAACTACATGAATTCATTATCTACATTATGCCCTATTAAGAATTAAATTTTCAATAAAATCTAATAAAAATATCATTTTAATTCTTTTAAACAAAATATTTTTTATGTCTAACTCTACCCTTTTAAACAAAAGCTGGATCTAATAAATCTACTCTCCTAATAGGGTGTCATCGAAAAATCGACACTTTATAGGACCAAACGACCTAAGGCGACCCTCCCTAAACTTGTCTGTCACTAGAGCTATCCCAACTTTTTTATGTATATACTCATTTAACATTCTCTCTCTAATTATAAAGCAACTCATCCAACTGAGCATCCTCATCTCTGCAACACTTGACTTAATTTTATGTTTTTCTTTTAATGACTAATATTCTGCGCCAGCATGTTGAAAATATATAAAAATTATATCTCACTCCCTCATTGTGGTTTCAAAAATTCGCACCCCGAGCTCTCCGCGAACCCTTTCTTTTTCTTTCGGGTTGTCGATGAGAGTTTTAGCATTTAAGTTCCAAGGTAGATTTTTAGAATGCATATTGGGTTTTGAATAAAACATTACCCAGAGATTTCGCCCTCATTTTATGAAGACTTTATGATTTGAGTTATGGCTTCCCATAGGCGCAAGCTCCTATATTAATTACCCCTCCTGATAATGAGATAGAACTTTCGATTAAGGCTAATCGTTAAACGAATACGTAGTATCTGGTGTATAGTAGCAGCAAAGTTTGGTATTTGAAATTTTAATATTTAAAATTAGAAATTCACCAGCTTGCACTTAAAGCAGATAGTGGGGAGAATGATGATAAACCCGATCAAGATCACATGGTTCCATCATCTCGGGTCATCATGATCCCTAGTCTACTTAGTCAGCTGAGATAGTCGACCCAATCTAACAGAATGATCCTTATTAGCAACCATGAGTTGCTTCATCCAAGGATATCTGGTAGACCAAGGGTGAATATTTGTCTAAGAGGACAAATTTGAATCCACCTTAGCTAATAGAGGGCTTTGTAACCTATCGATTATATCATATTGATTCATTACTCAAAAATTTAGTGATGTTGAAGAACATACAGGCTTTGACAATGATCATAATATAATTATGTCATTTAGCAACAAAACCACCCGGTCAAAAGGTCCCGATCATAAATGTTTACTTATGATGCCATTTGGCAACAATACCACTTATTAGAGGACACTAGTTAGAGGACATGTGTCATGTCCTTAGTGGCAAGAGAAGTATTGAGAATGAATTCTAATAATATTCTCGATCAAGCATTCACACTTTATGAGCTGAAATGATTTTCAGATTTGTCCACCTATGCAAACTATTGCAGATGTTAGATGGGTTTTGCTTTAAGCATGTGATGATTTATTTCAATTTTAAATATCTTAAGTTTTGATATTTGTAGAGGGATTGGGAGGCACTTTGAATGTTTGGAATTCCCTCTGATTGAGATTTTCTATCAACAGGGCCTTCATAAAGATATTTATAGGCAATTTCATTTTATCAGGTCGAACCTTGTCAACTCTGTCTACTTATTGACAAAGGATCGGGCTCGTTAGCGATTTTAAGTCTTTATTAGTGAATTTTCCTTGTTATAGACCTTGAAGATATAATATAAATGTATAAAATAAATATTCTAATAGATGTTGAGACCGTATATTTATTTGACGTCTCGAACCGTGTCGACTCCTATCCATTCATTTAAAAGGATCATGTTTGAACTTGGATTCATATTTGACCCGCGCAACATACTCAGATGTCACGTGCGTACATACAACACGCTCGTCAGAGTCCATACGGGTATTCATATTTCAATGCATGAGAGGACATTTTGGAATAACCATTTATGCAAATGACCCCTGTTGACAAGTATGCATGGTTTTATTAATGCATACAAGAGTTGTTAGTTATGTTCACACACAAGGTGATTTGACCAAGTATTTTCCTATTTCATTTGGATCAAATCAAGGATCAACTTTAAGCCCATATCTTTTTGATTTAATCATGTATGTTCTTACTAAACATTTGCAAGAGGATGTATCCTGGTGTATGCTTTTTGCTTATGATATTCTTATTGTTAACAAGATTAAAACGGGAGCTGAAGGTAAATTTAAATTATGAAGGTCAATCTTAGAATCTGAAGGTTTTTGTTTGAGTAAATCTAAAATTGAATACATTGAGTATAATTTAGTAATAATAGATCTAGAGGGAGGGTTGCAAATTTGTGAGATCAAGCCATTAATAAGAGTACATGTTTTAGATATCCCGGGTTTATTTTTTGAAGTGATGGTGAAATAGATGTGGATATTGTTAGTAAAATTCAAATTGGATGATTGAAGTGGAGGAATGCAACAGGCTTGTTGTGTTAAAGAAATGTACCCCTCAAACTAAAGGGAAAATTCTATAAGATGATGATGAGATATGCAATGCTTTATGGAACAGAATGTTGGCCATTAAAAGAGAAGCATAGAGTTAAGTGTTGCAAAGATAAGGATGCTGATGAGGACATCGTCAGCATTGTCGACGCCCGGATTTTGCTCATCCTTGCCTAAGCAAGTTAAAACCACGAATTCTAATGATCACTCTTTTATTATAAACGATAATTTTATTTTGGGTTATTAAGTTTCAATTGATCTCTTTAATTTCTTAAAGTAACTCCTCCGTCGCATGTACGTTTCACATCAGATGCTCAGGTGGATAAGTGACTTTGCTCTTAGAGACAAAATGCAAAACGAGCATATACATGAAAAGGTTGCTCCAGTGGCAAATAAAATTAGAGAGTTGTCTTAGATAATTTGGTCATATAAAATGTTGACCTTCTGATGACCCGATTAGGAGAGTAGATGTATTAGATTTGTCCTGTGTTAAGAAAAGTAGAGGTAGACCTAAAAATACTAAGATAGAAAATATTATAAATGACATTTTTTTATTAGATTTAAATAAGAATTTGACTCTTAGCAAAAAACAATGGAAAAAAAAAAGAATTCATATAGTCGACCTCACATAGTGGAATAAAGGCTTGATGTTGTTGTTATAATAAATAAACTTGCTCGTGAACCAACTTGAACTCATAGAATTGAGCTCCAGCTTAAGCTCGAGCCAACCCTTAAGCTCACCTCGACTTGTTTACAATTACCCGAACTACCCTAAATATTTATAGGATTTATTACATTAAGTCGTTAAATAATAAAATTTCCCTAAGATTTATGGACTTATGAGTTTTAACTACATTATTCATAGGGAAGGTACAACTAAATATATTCAAAATGATTGTTATCGCCAAATAAATTCAAAATGACCAAGATTACCCTGGAAACCACATTGAAAGTGACTACTATGAAAAGTACCCTAACAAATTTATGAAGAGATAGGTTATCACATCCAATAATGTTGATGACATGATTAATGCTGCCACCATACTAATAGGCAATTTCCTAAAAGCTAGTACTTTAAAAACCTAATGAAAGATTGTTCCCAATAGCTTTTGAGATTTATGACAACTGCGGTAAGTCAAAACATCACTCATTTATTAAACTGCCCTTAGAGAGTGACAATAGATTCGGTGTTTCTTATCTACATGCTGAGTGGAGTGATCCTAAGGATTTTGAACATGCTGATATTTAACCAATTTTAAATCTCTACAAATCAAGAAATGGAGTTTCATTTTTCCTTTTGTTTACTCACCCAAATTATTCAAAAACTTTGCTCAATTCAATTTATAGCTATCGCCACATCGAAGGGCATCTTTAGCATTATTTTCTATATTTGCTCTTTGTTGTTGTTGTTGTTGTTTTTTTTTTTTTTTTTTTTTTTTTTTTTTTTTTTTTTTGCAATGCATGTTTTATTTCATCTCCTTTCACATTTATGCAAATCAAATTATTCCCAATAAAATGCTCCGGGTAATCTGTTCTAATCATATCATCACCAAGCATGACAAGTTCACCTAGGGTAGGCAAAGTAAGGCGACCACCTGAGAATAAATAAACACATTCGCATAGGGAAAATTTGCAAGAACAAATCTGATATGTGATATTAGTACATGGTAATTTTCTGAACGAGGAAATCATGACTATAGAGATGTAACATCACACACTTGAATTTCAGAACACATGCTACGTGAACAAATGAAACAACATAAGAAAGATAAACATTCCACAAAGGGATCAATACAATGGAAGTCACCAAATCAAGAAATCCATAAGATATTAAGAATAAAAATGACAATATCTGATACCTGTAATCATATGTTAAAGGTTCGCCATTTTGAATTGTTCTCAAAGCAAAAACACCTACGCGTGTTTCTCCATCTACTTGCCTATCAGAAAAGGCATGGAATGCATTATTGCAAAAGACGCGATAGTATGACAAGTCTATCTAGTTCAAGATGTCAATGTTAAGATGATGTTTGGAGGACATACCACTTCTCGAGCTTACAATTAGGATCACAACTGTGGTTTAGAAACCTAGAAAAATTCCCTTTGAAAGTAGCATCTATTGTAAAATCTTTTCGAATTTCACACATGTAGAAGTTTTGGTCGCCCCGACGTTTCATGTCCCAAAGCCTTTGTTCACATAAGGCATCATCAATAACTGAAATACAAAGAAAAAGGTCAACAGGAAACCATTAACGAGAAATCGACCTATAAAATTGCAAATCCGGCCTCATCTAAAAAATCAGAAACAGAGAAATTTTCAGCAGCAGAGATTAAAAATCATAGTGAGGTTCTATAACGCTGAAACTATAAATAACAAGAATCACACTATACAAAGGATTTCTTGACATTAAGGTTGGCACCCGCCATCAACACCAATAACTGCGTACACAGTTGCCAACAAAGTATGCCCCCACCATCAATACCAACACAAATTCCAATCACTTTATTAAGGTTGAAACTTCCCTCATGGTTGCTAATCTCCCCTCCTACAAGGAAAACGATCGAACAAACTACCAACAATCCCTTGATGATAACTCCAAGGCCTCAAGGCATTGATAGGAAATACTTGATTTAAAGTATTTCCTATTCACTTTTACAACAAATCTCAATGCAAACTGCTGTCCACAGCAGGAAAACAGCTAAAACAATGGGAAAAACAGGGAAAAACTGAGAAATTTGGAGAAAAGTCTTGTATTTTACTAGTAGATGCAAGGAAAATAGCAAAGATACAAGGATCCTCTATTCGAGAGGAGGGTGGCACTCTCCCAATCTCTAGAATTCGATCTAGAGCCCTAGCCACCAAAGAAGAACAAGAGAACTCAAAACCAATTTCACATAACCCTAATCTATCCTTTTCTCCCTACTTAATGCATACAATTCAAAAATAACATAAAAGGACCTAATTTCCCTTGCTTCCACTCCTTTTGGCTCCAAGATACAATTTGAAAAACAAGTGGACCCCACCCTATTTTCTCCCTATTGTTTCGCCAACTTCCTTCTTCTATAAACGAATTGAGCCGGCCCAATGGATTGGGTCGACTAGACCGGTCCATAGAGGACCGGTCTAACATTACCGCCCTCCTTTAGGGGCTAGGTGGATAGTCGTCCACCTGTAAGTGCCGCCTGAGTTGCTGTTCCTAGCTCCCTTCTCCATATTCTTCTGATTTTCAACCAATTGTGCAAACTTCATGGCCTCCCCTAGGTCCCTGGGCATCAGGATCTTCACCGCTGCTCTAACCTCTACCTTTAATCCCTTCATGAAGTTCCCTTCCAGCACAGTCTCGGACAAGCACTCAACTCTGCTGGCCAGATGCTCAAATCTCTCTCAGTAGTCTGCCACAGACCCCTCCTACACCAGAGCAAAGAACTATTCGTAGAAGTCTCCTCCCCGGTCGGTTTGGAAATGCTCTATCAAACTGTCCTTGAATTCTTCCCAGCTCCGGATAGGTCTTCTCTGATATCTCCACTGGTACCAAGAGAGTGCCTTCCCTTCCAGACACAAGCCCGCTGTCGATAACTTCTCCTCCTCCGTCAAGCCGTTTACAGCAAAGTACATTTCTACCTTGTAGATCCACCCATAGGCATCCTCCCCTTCAAAAATGGGCATTTTTAATTTTCTCACCTTCTGATCCCCGTCATTCCCCCCTAATCCTCCATAATTTCCCCTCTCCCATGTGCCTGGGCCTCCCCACGTCTCCCGATCTTCCCTTGCTCTACCCTGTCCCAATCCCCCTTCAAAATCCCCTCTCTGATCTTCAAAAACAGCTTCTCGTCGCCCATGATAACCCCCACGATGCTCCCAACCAGCACCCCTTGGTTCCACGCCTCCATAGGCATGCCTTTCCCCATATCTTCCGCCTCTTTCCTCCCTCTTAAAAGGCTCCAAATGAGGCCTTCCCCTGCTCCCTTCCACGATCTCCACTTCCTCTTCCTCCTGATGGATTTCAGAGTTGGTATTTTTTGCTGCTGTCCCTTTTGCATCAGACGCCGCCGATTGGGTTTGAAACTCCAACATCTTTTTCATCATATCCCGTAGATCGGTCACTTGCCCTTCCATGGAAGACATTCGTTCCTCCACGGTCTCCTTGATTTGATTTATCTCTCCTTTAATCCTCTCCTCCAAAGCATCCACCTTCTTAGCCGCCATCTCCTACGACTTGCAATTTATGAGAAGATCTTGGGATTTGAAAAAAAAAATCAGCAATTTTCTCCTTCGCATGTGCAATTTCAACCGCTGAAATTGGTCAAAAACAGCCCACGATTTGTCCCAAGACTTGCTCTGATACCAATTTGATAGGAAATACTTGAGAAAACAGCCAAAACAATGGGAAAAACTGAGAGAAATTTGGAGAAAAGTCTTGTATTTTACTAGTAGATGCAAGGAAAATAGCAAAGATACAAGGATCCTCTATTCGAGAGGAGGATCGCACTCTCCCAATCTCTAGAATTCGATCTAGAGCCCTAGCCGCCAAAGAAGAACAAGAGAACTCAAAATCAATTTCACATAACCCTAATCTATCATTTTCTTCCTACTTAATGCATACAATTCAAAAATAACATAAAAGGACCTATTTGCCCTTGCTTCCACTCCTTTTGGCTCCAAGATACAATTTGAAAAACAAGTGGACCCCACCCTATTTTCTCCCTTTTGTTCCGCCGGCTTCCTTCTCCTATAAACGAATTGAGCCGGCCCAATGGATTGGGCTGACTGGAAGGACCGGTCTAACAGGCATCTCTTACTATGGCCATAGAAGTCATCTTTCACATTTCATCTTTAAACGATATACCTTGCTCCTCTAATCATACAAAAGCGAATCTTTGGTAACATATGAATCATACTAGCGGAATCAATTCGACTGGGTTAGGCTTGACCATATGTTTCCTTCTTAGTTTGTCCACATAATAAACCTTATGTAAAGCTCATGTCTCCTATGAACTACTTTAAGCTAATCTATATGTATGTGTGCAAAATTTTTATATAATCTTAAATGATAAACTTTATCTCACTATACCACAGTGACCGTTTAGCACATAACCCTTATATAATTCTATTCTATCTCTATAAATGTGGATTGATGGTTTGTAATTTTTTAATTAATTAATTAAATTTATTTAATGAGATCAATTGAGTGTGCTCTCTAAATACCATATTGTGTGCACAATAGCTCCAAAATGTTTGCATTAAGTCTCTTCTTCTTACTCCATCAACTTTGGTATTAGAACGTGATTTGATTAATATTTCATTCCTTTTCTTTGATTTTCAATCGCTAAGCCTGCATTCCAATCATTGTTGCCTGCTAATTCACACCTACGTCATCCCAATCCTTGTAAAAAGTAATCTCCACAATTTGCATCTCCAGAACTTCTAGTCAATTGATTCTTATATATTGATAGCTAAAATCCCATCAAAACCCCTCATTAAAATACTTTACTCCCAAGCTGCGCATAACTCTTTCCTTTATCTCTTGACTACCTCTCTCTGTTAAAAAGAACCACGTCTCCTAAACATCCACCTTCCTATAGCCATCGTTCTCATTAAAAGCATTCAACTAACAACCGCCCTTATTAGTGCATTTTGCGACGTTCATGATTTTCCCCCACTTGCATAACCAACCGTCCTGCTTACTCTTGGCTCTCCATCCCAATCACACATTGCTCACACACTTTTTCCCATTGCCTCACACCATGCAATACCCATGCATAGCCATCTCGATTGTTTTCAACAACCTGCATCCAATCTTAAGTTCTCATCTCGACAATATCCCACTTTCCTCTCATTTAGTTTTCGAAGGTCGCAGCATTGAAACATCTCTACCTGCAATAACACCATGCCTCCCTTATTGACATCCCAACGATCTCAATGCCTTAATCCGCATCCTCTAACTTCAAGTTCAATCTTAGTATTGATTCGTTCACGATAGCACTCTTCCATCAACGATCACTTGTTATCAGCCATTGCGGCTTCCACCAGCCATAAAGGGAGACCTACTTACAAGAAGATCACAAGTTCATATAGTTTAACTATACTACGATAAGGACGATTTTCTACTATGATTACTAATTTTATAAATCCATCATTTCAATTCCACAAGCCTACTTGCAGGTTGAGTGCTATTTTAGATGAAATGATATAACAACAACATCATCAAGCATTTATCAACTATATTCGGTCAACTACATTGTGTCCTATTAAGAGTCAAATTCTCATTTAAATCTAATAAAAATATCATTTCTAATATTTTCTAACCAAATCTTATTAGGTATACCTCTAGCGCTCTTAACATAGGTCAAATAAAAAACGTCTACTCTCCTAACCGTGCTATCAGAAGGCCAAAGTTTTATGTGAACAAACCATCTAAGGCAACTCTCTAATCTTATATCCATTGGAGCTACTCCAACCTTTTCACGCACATGCTTGTTTCACATTATGTCTCTAAGAGTAAAGCCACTTAACCTTAATTGTATGTTTTTCTTTTAATGGCCAACATTCTGTTCCATAAAGCATTGCAAGTCTCACCACCTATCTTATATAATTTTCTATTAAATTTGAGGGGAACTTTTCTATCAAGCAAAGGATCTAATATGTTCCTCCACTTCAATCATCCAACTTGAATTCTACTAATAATATCTCCATCTATCTCACCATCACTCTGAACAATAAATTTGAAAAATATCTAAAATGTGTATTCTTCTTGATCGCCCAAAGTCACAACCCCAAACTAGATCTATTACTACTAAACTTACACTCCATGCAATCGGTTTTAGGTCTATTCAAACAAAAACCTTTAAACTCTAAGATTGACCTCCATAATTCAAGTTTACATTTAAGTTCATATCTAGTCTTATCAACAAGAAGAATATCATCAACAAAAAGCATACACCAAGGTAAAACCTCTTGCAAATGTCTAGTAAGAACATCCATGACTAAAGCAAAAAGATATGAACTTAAAGCTGATCCTTAATGTAACCCAACTAAAATAGGAAAATACTTGATCTAACCACCTAGTAATTGAACACAAGTAACAGCTCCTGCAAACATATCCTTACTGACTTGAGAAATGATGAAATGGTACTTAGGAAAAATGTTGATCAGGGGTTTCTAATCAATACGAAAGGCAAACTTAATTTAGATAATATATAAATGATCAAGGATGAACTTGAAAACCTACTGCCTAACTTATTGAATGACTATAGCATTAATAACGCTCCAAAAGAGAGTTCTTAAAAATCGAATTGCCATATAACAATTACAAGAATTGAAGTCAAACCACACAATGAAGTTGAACAGGTTTTTCTTTCAACTCAATTCTATTTATTTCTAATTTTTTATGTTTTTAATTAATTTTTCTTATTAGGTTTATTCACCCTCTTTGAATAATATTAGTTTTAAAAATATTATTTTGAGATTGGAATAAATTAGATTTGAATTTAAAATATAGCCTTATACTTATAAATTAGTTTCTAAAATATATAAGCACTGCTGGCTTGTAATTGATTAATTGATGGATGAATGAAATTTATGTTGTAAGGTCAATTGAGTGCGTTTAAAATCATATGAAGAGACCAAAGCAAAAACTATAGTGGGCAAAAGTTTAAAATGATTCAAGAGAAACAAAAAATATATAGCTCTAAACGAAAAAAAAGGAACGGTGGGAACTCGTTTGAAACAACCCTAAATAATTGGAATACGACCACTCCTGCTGCTAAAGAAAATTCAGGAGTTTCGTAAGCATATACTACTTAGATTCATCAGAAGTAAATCATACCTTCTCCTACGTATTCTACCACAAAACGACCCTTTTCAATGGACTCCAAGGCAATTGCCCCCCAGCCACACCAATCTGTCTGCAAGAGAACATGGATTAAACATGCTACAGCTACTAAAGTTATGGTGTCAAATATAAATAATGATAAGCTTATTTTAATTTATAAAAGCTTTGCAACAAGACAAATTTATCATTAAAATGCCAGTTCCATTTATGGTTCAGTTGAAGATATATGCAAAACAGAGAACCATCATGCCAACTTATGTCTTCAGCATTCTATTTCAATCTCACGCAATTTTACTGGCCCAGAATACAGGATGCATTTTCATAAAATTGCCCTTGGGGATCAAACCCAGAACCTATTGCTTCGCTAAGCAACCTCTCATCCAGTAGACCACAGAGTAATTTACTCACAAGCTTTTACTTGTTTAATTAAATTATTAATTAAATTCTAAAAATTAATTTTATTATATATATATATTAAGAGAAATAAACCACACATTAAAATTTAAAGTATGTTACAAATCATCAATTTAATTTGAACTTTTTCTCTATATCTAATTTAGTAAGTAGATGAAAGAAAAGTATCTTACCTTGACAACCTTTATCTTTTTTTCTTTGCGGAATGGTCTGTTTGTGCACATTTCTGAGCAATGACAGGCCTTCGTGCAACTGAGTGAAAGACCTCTGTTGCATAATCAAAGACATGAATGAAAAAGAATTATTTGATCAATAGAATGTGTGGCTCAGAAGGAAATTAAACAGAACTCTTTCTTTATCTGGAAATGATATGAGCAGTCAGACTTTTTCATTGACACGGCTCAGAATTTGTCAACTCTATAGAGGAAGGCTCAAACTATCCTAACCAGCACTTGCAGGTAATTCTATAGAAGAATTAAGGGAAAAAAGCTCGAAAGAAATGTACACAATTTGATGCATTTCAGGATATACATAAGGGAAATCTTAAAAATCTAAATCTGTGTGTGTTAATGCATTGGGAGGGTTGTTCTAATGTGAGATCAACAGAAATTTGATGAGTAAAACGAGCCGTAGTTTCAGCTAAAAATTGCTAAATTAAGATATCCATTCCATTAAATATGAGAGAATTAAAAAGGAAGGCTAATGCTTGCTTTCATTAAGAGTTATGATCATTACGTACCATATTGAATAATATAAAAGGCATATGCATCGGAAATGAACATTGGAAACCAGATTAACCTCAGTTGCAGCAGTTAGCAACCGAGAAAAAACTTTAAAAGAAAAAAAAATTCCTGCCGATATGAACTAAAGGTCAGTGAAAAACAGACCGGTAAAACTTCTTGCATGCAAAGCGAGATTTCAGCCGCAAACTTCCGTAAAGATATGCGCATGTTCTCAAACAAAGTAGGTAGTCATATGCACCAATCATAAAGGAAGAATAAGGTAGAAAGCAATTGTTAAACCCTAATATCTAGAACAGGCATTACATGACCTATTTTGACTATTATCCAAAAAGGATAACATGAAACAACAGAAGGATGGTAAATGTGAAATTTCTATTCTAAAGAACTCAAGGTATTGGAATTCTGGCTTGTTTCAAGCAACTACATGCAACATGAGAAGCTAACAGAAATGTCACCGGAAAGCACAATGATGACAATAAACAAAAAAAGTTGCAAACATTTTAACTGTATCAACGCAAGGAACGCAAGAGATGATAACAAACAATTATACTGACTTACTTAACAACCGGACGTCTATTGAAATACGCAGATTCTAATGAAAAACTACACGAATGCAATGCAAAAAAAAAAGTATATATATCAATAATTGCCAGTTAAGCTTATCCAGTTTTTAAGAAAATCCAAGCACAAATTAAAGGCAACTAACCATGAATAAAATGGTTGGTTATATTGTGGAAGAATTGAAAAGCTTTAAGAAGATAATTTTAGCAATTTTAGAGAACCAAAAGTGTCATCTAAATTGGATACCAGAGGAAGCTAAACATACCGGTCATAGAATAGCATGAGATTGGTAAAGTATTATCAAGTGAGTTATACTGTTTTACCTGCACTCACAGTTCTCACTGCAGTCAGAATTTGCATTGCAATTTGTACATCCAACATTAGTATCAGCACCATCACGTTTCCGCTTGACCAAATAAACATCTTTCAACATTAAGGATCAAAATAAACATGTCAACACCATACCAATTATTAAAAATTAAGGATTTTTAAAACTTCCAGTATAGTTTCAGTACAATGGCAAATCCTGGATGAAAATTGTTAAAAGATCTCAAGGATACTGCGCTTGATATGTATGTAAGGAGCTGGCTCAGTAATGTTCTCCAAAACATCATTCACAATCGAGCCAATCTCATACTCCTCCTCAACATACGGAAGAGGCAGACGATGGAACACTTCCTGTGAATTGAAGGAATTTAAAATTGATCAGTTAATATTTACACAAACCTCAATAACATAGGCTTCTAACTGCCAGAAACGATTCCGCTAGACCAATTTCAGATAAACATGATGGCAATACAGATTTCATAAAAACAGTGATGGTTTCAGAAACGGATTAACTTGAGTAACATATTATGTGGGTGTTAAAAATTAAACCCGCTTGGAAAACATAGTGCAAACAAGCAGCACTTTCCATAAATAAAAGCCAGCAGCATTAAAACAGCAGACACAACAAATTAAAAAACGAGCAAAAATACAAATTTTAGTCTAACCTCCAAGTCACTTGTGGCATCTGCATGCTGTTATCCAACAAAGAACATTCCTGTCAGACAACCTAAGCAATAAAAAATAAGAATGGAGAAACATAGAAACAAAAAAATAAATAAATAAAAAGTAAAATGAAAAGGGAAATTTTAATAAATTATAACTTTTCAGTTTGTGTCATATATGCATATAAAAGAAAGAAAAAAGCAACAAAAGCCATTAACTAAAGAGAAATAAAGGCAACGACAATAATGGCCCTTTAAAAACAACATGACCAAAAAATAAGAGTTCTTGCATGATCAAATAAAGAGAAAGAATTAAATACTGCAAATAATTCATATAATTTGTTGTTCTTCAATTTGTATGTCATAATTTGTGTCATTCTTTAATGCTTTATAATTTATGCTCTTACTCTGCATTATTTCAATTTTCTAGAGGAAAAGTGGCAATAAGCATCCCTTGGACATGACTTGCAATCTTGTTTAACAGTTTAGAGTTTTTTATCATTTCAATAGGAACCATCTATCATGTCATGTAACAGTATGCAATTTTGAAGAAATACAAAATGAGTTCATGCAAGGATTTGCGCCCAACCCCTAGGCTTTAACACCGCCTAAATTTTTTATGAGAAAAGTATCAAAATGGTCTCTCAAATCTTTGTGAGGGACCAAAATAGTTCCCTAACTCTTTTGAGGGGCCAATTTGACCCCTCAACTCTTTAAAATGGGATCTTTTTAATCCTAACATTCAATGTTGGAATTAATAGTGTTAAATATAAAGATATTTTAAACATTTTTTATTAAATATTTATTAAATGTAGTTTTCAAGTAATTATAATTTTTTAAAATTTTTATAAAGCATTTCTTTAATAAAAAATTAATAGTAATTTTAATTTTAATTTTAATTCAAAAAATTTTAGTCATATTTTATAAAAATTGAATATCTGCTACCTGATGTTTTATAGTTGTATTTATTTTAATCAATTTTAAAAATTTAAAATGTTATTCAATTCCAGAGTAATTGAATAAAATGACAGTGGAGTATGCACAGAGCAATTTGATTTTCACATTTCTCTGCTTCGAATTAAATAAGATGAACTATAAATCTGTTTCATTCTGAATAACACGCATAAGTAATACGGATCGTACTTCAAACTAAAGCACATAATCCATGTTTCCTTTTAAATTGGAGAGGTGGAACAGACGAATGGAGTTCTCACGCAAGCGAGCAGGTCAGTAGCGTAGTTGGGTTGATAGCACAGAGCACGAGTGGGCGGTTTATCACACGTACAGGTTGATTGCACAGGGCAGATAAGCAGGCAATTCGCATGAAGTGGGTCTGAAAAGGTGCATGCAAACGGGCGGGCTTGTACGGGACTGGACTGGCATGTGTGCTCGAGTACAGACAAACGCGAGTAAGATTCACATGAAGCAACCGAGGTGACAGTACAGGCCGTCGCGAGTATAACTGGATGCGCGGTGAGTGAGGTCGAAGCGTAGTCGGGAGTTCTGTCCGGCGTGGAGATGTCGAACGCGGGAGATTGGTCCGGCGTGAGGGTGTCAGACGCACGAGATCAGTCAGACGTGAGGCACGAGTGGTAGGGTTTCGCCTGAGAGTTGAAGCGGGCAATGATTGTGACTGTACGAAGGTGCGGGCACAGTCGGGATCCGATCCAGCGATAGTAGTCACACAGAGAGGTCAAAGGTGTGTGAAACTAAGAGTAAAGGGTATTTGGATTTTTGAATGCAAGAAAACAAGCGTAAGCCGCAAGTTTCTGTTCGGTTTTCTGCCATTTTATAGAGCAAATTACCAAAGGGATGTGGAGTTTTGCCGATCAAGGCATATTTTTTAGTTATTTTTCGCCTCAATTTTTTTTTTGTTTTTTAAAGTTCTAGAAAAGAAAAGAATTAATAATATTTATATTTAAGTAATTAGAGATATGTATATATGAGCTCTTATTTGTGTTCAAACACGATATGATTTGACCAAGAATTTTTCTATTTCAATTGGATTACAAAGGATCAACTTTAAGCCCATATCATTTTGTTTTAGTCATAGATGTTTTTACTAGACATTTGCAATAAGATGTGCCTTGGTGTATATTTTTTGCTGGTGATTTTCTTCTTATTGATAAGATAAGAGGGGGAGTTGAAAAATTTTTGAATTAGGGAGGTCAACCTTTAAGTCTAAGATTCTAGTTTGAGTGGATCTAAAACTAGAATAAACGAAGCATTATTTTAGTAGAATAAATTTATTAGTAATGAAATTTTTTGTGGTGAGACATGTAATGGTCTTATTGTGTGATAGAAAAGCACACCCTAAACATAAGGGAGAATTTTATAAGATGGTGGTGAGGCCTGTAATGCTTTATGGTTCAAAAAATTGACCATTAAAAGACAAGCATAATAATAAGTTAAGTATTGCTAAGATGAGGATGCATAAGTGGATGAATGGTTTTACACTTAGAGACAAAATATGAAATGAATATATATAAAGGTTGGAGTAGCTTCAGTGGCAAATAAGTTTAGAGATAGTCACCTTAGATGGTTTGATCATATAAAATGTCAGCTTTTCGATGATCCAGTTTAAAGAGCAGATGCATTAGATCTACCCAATGTCAAGAAAATTAGAGGTAGACTTAAAAAGAATTTGCTAGAAAGTATTAAAAATGACTTTGTTTTTATTAGATTTAAATGAAAATTTAACTCTTAATAAAGCATAATGAAAAAAAAAAATTCATGTAATCAACTTTATGTAGTGGGATAAAACCTAATTGTTGATATTGTTGATCTCTATACTAGTGTCGTGGTCGAGTCGACCGCGCAAGATGAATTTAAAAAGTGAAAGAGCTCAAAATCGCACAAAACTCACCCGACGCATGTCGATTAAAAACCAAAATTGCCTTAAATAATGTTTTATACTTAACTTCTTTAAAAAATGTAAATGGGGAGTTCAGGTGTGTAAGTCAAGAGCTAGGAGGAAAAAATTTATTTCATAGTTTTACTATAAGTTTAATATAAATTGTATTTTGTTATGATTTGGATTCCTTTCATTTTTAATTTTCAGTGTCATGAGTCTAGAGTGTAGTGTATTTTATTTTTTGTTGACTTACAACTTCAGGTGGATTTTAATATCTTTGAAATTTTCTAAGTCATGAGTTCTGTTAAAAATTTTGGCAGTACCTCAATATTATCCCCGCATAAGGGGCTGTATCAGGATGTGTAAAGCCTTCCCACTTGCCAAGAAAGGCAATCATGGCAAATGTCAAGTGACACCGCAGCAGCAGTCTTGTTCTACGCTCGCTAATAAAAGCGATAACAAGATCTTCAAGTACCTGTTTAAAACACAGCATTTCCCCGCCTAAAAAAACAGTGATATGATCTTAATTTTTTTCATAAATAATAAATTTCCTCACTCGCTAATAAAAGAGATCACGAGTACTTATATTTCATGCATATGAATTTTTCCACTCGCTAATAAAAGCAATCACGGGTACTTATGTTTCCACGCTCTCTAATAAAAACGATCACGATTACTTTATATTTCATGCATAGAAATTTAAAATACTAATGTCGGGTTTATACCTTAAGGGCGCAGTGAGTTGGTGACCGAGACAACGACGACGAATGACGACAACAAAGGAAAAACCTATGATACACAAATTTATTTTTTATCACATATGCAATATAATTAATTACATATGCTTTCTTTTAATTTAAAATAGGAGAGAGGGAGAGATTAACTCTTTTTTTAGATAGAGACAAAGAGAGGAAATAAGAGAAAGAAAGATATTTGCATAAAAAGAGGTTTATGATGTGTAGGAGAATTGAGGGTAAGGTTTAGAGATAGAAAATTCTTCACTCTCTAATTTTAAAGAGAGAAAGAGAGAAGAGGGATTTTTTCTCTCTCTAAGAGAGGAGATATAGAGGAATGATAGTAAAGGAAGACGTTTGGGATAGAGAGAAAAGCATTTGTAAAGAAATTTCTCTCTTTTTATAGAGATAACTTTTCTCTCTCTAAGCTAGAGAGAGTTGGGATGAAAGGACTTTTTGGTTAAAGATATGTAAGATATGTAAGTCTTATGAAGAGAGATTGGTTGTTTGAAAGATGGATATAAAGATATTAGAAAATTAGGATTAGGTTTGTTTTAGATTTGAAAAAAATGGAAGAAAAATAAGATAAAGGAGAAGGGTAAGAAGAAGAAGAGGAAGAGGAAAGAGAAGAGAAAAAAATGAATGAGAAAAAGGATGTAGGAAAAAGGAGAAAGAAAAAATGGAGGAGAAGACGAAGAAGAAGAATGGAAGAGGAGGAGAAGAAAAAGAAGAAGAATGGAAATTTTACCTTAAGCTTTGAGGGAGGAGGCTGGCAGATGAGAGGCATGAGATAACCGAATGGGGAGAGGGGGAATCGTGGGTTTGGCGATTTGGATAGTGTGAGAGAGTGTTATGAGCATTTAAGTGGATTTAAGGGTTTAAGTGGGGACATTTTAGTTTTTTTTTAGATTTTTTTTAATATCTCTTTCTCTCCCTCTCTCTAAATTACTTTTATAATTATATGGCATGAAAAAAATAACTTTATGATGCACCAAGTTAGTCATCACATCGTTGCCATTCGTCCATGTCGTCACCTCGATTTGCACGTCCAAAATTAAAATTTTCACTGATTGATGACCTCAATCAATATGGACATCAATTTTAGCTATTTTTGTTGCTCCGGACGCATCGACGCTATTCGTTTCACGAACAGAGGCCATTTTGGCAATTTTTAGGGCTGCAAGCGAAACAAATGTTTGACAAGCTACTCATTGCTTGGTTCAATTAAAGCTCATTTGTGATCATTAAACTAAATAAACAAACAAACTTGAATATCATTTTAAATACTCGATCCTTAAATAAACAAGCTTGAACATTAATGTGTTAGGTTCATTTATGTTCGCAAACAACATTTGAAACTTGTGAACAAGCTCGACAATAAGCTGGATAAAAGCTCGATTCGTGTTCGATTCAGAGCTCATGAATAAATTCGATAAAAATTT